TCGGCAGAGGGCATCATGAGAGGAGAGAGAGCGGGAAAGCGAAGCGCAACGCGGAGACGGGGGACGCGGGAGTCGACTGTAAGGAGTCTAAGATGGGACCCACACAAGGCCACATTTGGCTGGCGCCCGTCGCCTTCACTTCACTGTTCTGTCGCTGATTATGTGACTGTGATCCTTCTCCATTATTCGTTTCGAATTACAAACCCAGAAAAAATACTTTACACTCTTTAAATAAGGAAATCACTAATGGTTAATGTCAGTTAATTTTTAATAAATTTGTTGAAAAATATATAAATATTAATTTAAATTATTGCAAATATAAATGTTTAATTATTTATAATTGAGATTTCTTAATCTTTAACATTTTATTCTCAATTGATTTTTAATTATCAGAAATTTAAATGAAATTAGATTGATATTTTAGGATCTAACTACTATTCTTCCATCATATTTTCCTTAAGAAAATCCACCTCATATATAATTATATTGAACTTTATGTAAATGTCCCCTTCTTGCTCTAATTATTAACGATACACTAAGGAATATGAATTTGGTTTGGGTGTTCATTTTAGGATGAGCACTGTAGTGCTCAGCATCAAAATACTGTCGTTTGACAGTATTTTTTTTCTTTTTTTAAACTGCAAACTCATTATAATAATAAATAAATATTATAAAATTATTATTTTAATATTTAATAAAAAATAAGCATAGGATGTTAAAATTGAACTGTACTAAAAAAGTGAAAAAATGATTTAAAAAGTTTAAAATTGAGGTTGAATATATTAAAATGAGTTAGTTTCTCACACAATAATAAATCAATATTTAGGTTTATGTCAAGAGAAGTATCTATATTTAATAACGATTATATCCTGAATGATATTAACTCTCATAGATAGACAATTGTGCAAAATTAATAAAATAAAAAAATACAAATTTAATTTTTCAGTACAATTCTAAACTGTTCAGACCAAAATTTATATATAAATTGTTCAAGTTAAATTTTAATGAGTTAAACTATTCAGGTTCAATTTTAATATCTTAATGTTTATTTATTTATCAAATATTAATATATAATTTTATAATATTTATTTGTTTATTATCATTATCATTATCATTATTATTATTATTATTATTATTATTATGAGTTTGTGGTTTCAAGAAAGCAAAAAAAAAAATTAACACTACCAAATGACAATATTTTGGTGCTGAGTACTGAAACTGAGTCCATAGAATATTGATTACATATATGTTACAAGTGTGATTTAATCAAAAGAAAATGGCAAAAATTGTTTGAATGATGCCGCGCCTTTTGTTTTGTTTTATTTTTGGTGTCATGTTATTACTATTACTATTATTTTTAAATCTCTAAAGAGATCCCATGCACGTACATTTGCATTCCACACACCCATGTGACAATGTATCTCATACACAAGCTTTTTCCCTCCTTTAATCACATGGAATTTTGATCCTTTAAACTCTTACGTCAAAAAGTAGGATTATAAGGATAAGTGTCAGTATGTTAAAGAAACACTGGTTCGATGTTGCTAATAACAATATAGTCCAGCGTGGAGCGTTGACTGTGCCTGGTGTGAGGCAGCGAATGGGGGAAGTAAAAGGCCTGTAGTGAGAAATCAGGATGGGACGAAGGAAGGACTAAGGAACAACGGAGCACGTGACTCAAGACGGTACGCGCACCATATGGCCCTTGCTTATTCAGTCACGCATATGCATGCAGGATAGCCTCACGTGTTTTGCATTTTTTTTTCCCCTGAGAGAGAAGATACTAACAGGTAAAAAGGGCATTCCGGATAATTTGAAGATAAATGTAAACACAAAAAATCTCAACTCGCTTGGAAGATTGTAATAATCCTGATGTGAGGCTTCTTTTTGTGAGCATCAAACCTGCCACGCGAATGTCAGGTGTAGTCACATATTAAAATATCTTGACAGCGGCAGGTTCGGGGGGAAAAGAAGATATTCACCATTAGTTTGGTTGGGAGATTCGTGAAAAGGAGGTAAGGAAGAAAGGTTGTTAGATTGAAAAAATTGAAAGGAAAGGGAGGCAAATTTTCTCTCTTTCCTCCCCTCCCCTTATGTTAGTCCCCTCCAATTTGAGACTTTTTAGAGAGGAGGTAAAATTTATGATTAAAGTGTCCTTATTAATTTTGTTATATTCTAAATATCACTTGCTTCAATTAAATAAATAAAAAAAACATGACACCACTTTCAATTGCCATTAAATATATGTTACTAATTGTGACATTTATGCCTTCAATTCCAACCCTAATATATTTTTATACTAAAAAATATATTTAAAATTGATGAGATAATTTCTTAAAATTAATCAAATAACTTTTAAAAAAAATTGCCAGAATTTATCATAAATAATTTTCAAGTTGAATATCATAAATAGAGGAGATAAAAGATTTTTAGATTCAAAAATAAAAAATAAATTATGATATGAATACTTTTTTTAACAAAATAAAATGAGTAAAATAGCATAAAGATATATATATATATATATATATGTCATTTTATAGTTAGCTCCCATTCTCTAATGAACCAAACAAAAATAATTAAAACACCTCTTCTCCTCTCTTTCCAAACTAAATAAAAGTTCATTGAAGCTAAACCCCTCCCTTTCCCTCCTCTACTTTCAACCAAACCCTGTGTAAAGGAAAACCGACCAGATAACTCGCGGAGGGTTGATTATTTCGTAGGTTAGGAATTCAACTTTATATATATACACATAGCCTGGGTTTCAAATGACAATCGTTACGACGACTTTCTAAAACCTGACAAACACCGCAAATCCCTAGCTACCTTCAAATGCCACCTTTGAAAGTTCAAAATTCACCTCCATTCTAATAAATACTCACCCCATTTTTATATATAAAATATTTTTAATTAAATTATACAAATTAATAAAAATTAGTTATCTAATATCAACATTTTAATTTTATCCTTAATTGTTATAAATAAAAAATAAATTTTTTTAATATAAATTAATGAAAGTACTTATAATTTTCTCTTTTCAATTTAATAAGGGTAAAATGATTCATCCATTAAAAATATTTCTCTAATTTTATTTATAACTTATTTTTAATATATTTCACCAGTACTAAGAAAAACATTAAACCTCATTAATTTTATTTTAAAATTTAACAAGTTTTTACCTTCACTCCTAATAAATATTTTTAAATCTCATTATCAATATTTTTATTCAAAGCATTTAATACGAGTGAAAATATAAAGAGGAGTATTGAAAATTGACAAGTGTTTTATAAATAAAATTAATTTTTTTCTTCTTTCTTTCTGTCTTGTGAATAAGACTAGAAGAGTTTGTTAACAATCTTTTATATTTAAGAATAAAAAAAAACTAAAAAGTCTCTCATGGGGACGGATGGAGTATGAATCAGCTCTCTCTTTCTTCCCATTGGATCATTAAATATGTCATCCTTATTGATCGAATATTGCCACCTGTAGGAATTAAATATTGCATCCTTATTGACTGAACATGAAAATGCAAAACCAAGTGCCACAAGATTCATCATTCACGGGTCTTCACTCCTTTTTTTTTTTTTTTTGGCTTCATCTTGGGGTAACCTTTCCTCCCAGACCAAAAACCATCCCTTTTCTCGGGCTATCTTTAATGGGAATATAACTATAGAAGTGTTATGGATGTCCAAAAGAAATTTCACATTGATCAAAATAATGAAAACATATATTAAGATGAGCACTTGAGCAAAAAAAAAACAAAAAGAAAAAAGATGGGTGAATTGGTGCCCGTAATAACAAGCCAGCGCAGTTGAAATTTTGAATTCATGGATTCTTTTGTTGACATTGGGGGGCGTTTTTGAATATCGCTGATGATGACTCGTTTGTTCTCTCATTAGCGTTGGTGTATTAACTTTTTCTCGGGCCCGATTTAGTGGGATTGCAAGCATTCACTCCAATTCTTTCTGTGAAAATTCAACATTATTGTGAAATAATTCTCAAATTGTATCCATAGAGTTGGGTCTAGCAAAAATAACTAATCTCTCGTAACATAATGATCGAAGATTCAAATCCTCATTAGAAAAGATATCTACATTTAGTATTCGACTGCATCTCAAATATGATTGTCTTCGATTAAAAAATACTTGTAAATAATAAAAAAAAATCAAATAGTCATTCAACACACTGGCCCATTTAATGCAAAAGCCCAATTATCAACAAGGCAATTGGTGAATTAATCAAACATGTTAGTGACAAATTGCAGTATTTCAGCTATTCGGCTATCTACAAAAGCACTCTCGAGTTCTATTTCATCTTTTCTACGAAACATAAAAACCGAGCCACTGAATGTGATCTGACGAAACTGAAAGATCAAGGCAACAAACATTATCCCTGTCCTTGACCTGTATCAAAGGAAAAGTTAATTTCCGTAGTCTCATAATTGTCCTCTATATGCTAACTTATCCTGCTATGCAACATCACACCCCAAGAGGCAACCATAGCCATTCATTTTATACCTTCGTGAAAGCAATTTAAGCGTCAATAATTTAATTCGCCCATGCCCATTTATTTTATTTTCGAAGCGCACGTGGCAGAATTTTCCCCCATGCTTTCTTTCCAATGGAGGTAACCACCATCCGAATTGCATATTTATCTTTAAAAAATACCCAAAAAAGTGCTTGAACCCTTTGATCGAAAATGACACCACCGGGTCCAGTTCACAAATTAAAGCAAAATAATAATAATAATAATAATAAATCAACGCATATATGAATATATATCCCAAACGCCTCAATCCAATTCTGTCCAGTAAATAATCACGCAGCAGCAGTGCTACCGCACCAGGCTGTCCCCATATTCAGACAAGAAAATTTGCCATTACATCAGTTACTTTCATTCAATTTATTCTCATAATTTTGGTTGAGAAGTCGTGCGAGGAAATGCCACATTACAGCATCTCCAGCTCCATCCAACAAAGCAAGGAAAACGCCAAAACACAAAAATGCCTGCCAAGCAAACTGAATATGCCAATACTATTATCAGTTTTTTTTCCCCTTACATGAATACTAATATCAGTTGACATTTGGAATATTGCTTCGTTTATGGGACAAAAAGAGTGTGCTTGATGTTAAAATGGCGTGGTAGTTTAATATCACAGGCGTATGTTTCATTCTCACTATGATACAGAAGGAACAAACATATACAAGTAGTCAAGTACGTTATCCATGTCTTTTCCAGAGAGCGCAGGATCTGATAGCCATCGACAGTATAGATGTGATCTTTTGTTACATCTATGCAACAAACCACAGGGAATGCTTCATTTGAAAATCTCACGGCGTATTTTAATGTCAATATAATTTGTCAGATATTTGTGGGTCTGTGACAACACAGGACATATCTCCCCACTATGTTTTTGACAGGCAGTGGTCCCCTGACCATATGGAAACAGAACAGAGACAAAACAAATTCATGGAGTTAAAAAAAAAAAGAAAAAAGAAAAAAAAGATTAATGGAAAAGGACAATCTAGAGCAAACTAATTTGGGGCAGGAATTAATTACCAAACATGGGAATCATAGCTGTTGTTTCGATTGTCACCTAACACATAAACATGACCGTTTGGTACATGCTGCAAAGGACGGAATTAATATCAGAAAAAACGAAATCAAATAAATGAAGGTAAAAGCATGGACGAAGCAGCAACTCTGGATGCTAGTCCTAGAAGGAACATAGAAGAGAAAGAAAATGCACAAGATTCATCATCAATGCAAGTGCGAAGAGATAATATGGAACTTTAAGTTTAATAAGAAATTCTTCAATGATCAGAACTATTGATCTCATTATAGAGAAGGCGCACTAATTGGAGCATCACCGTCCCTTTTAAATCCAAAGCTGTCGCAATCATAAATCGAGTGAAATGAAAAGGGAGCATAGTAATTGAATAGGGACCCACAGTTAAGTTTGTTGTATATGTTGGCCGTGCCGCTACATAATCTTCCTTCTGAGCAACACCATTGATGTAGAGAGACCCATGATGAACCTGAAAGGAATTAGAAATTTAAAGCAATCAAAACCTGATGCTATTAGTAATGTTCCCCCAGTGCTCATCAAACAGAGTAACTAGTTAATGGACAATTTGTAGATATAAATCCATCTTCTTGATTTGATTTAGTATTGGTGTTTGTCAATATAACAGAGGAGCAAACCTTAGACCGAGAAAAAGAAAAGCAAAAATAGAGGGGGAAGCCAACCCATATATTACACTATATGAAAGCATCGATGACAAAAACATAATGTTAATTTCAAAATTGGAAGATCAAGGAAATGAATGTTCATTTACACCAATCTTGTTGACATATTAAAGTACCAAGTCCATTTGTAAGATTGGTATAATCTTCAAGAAAGAAGTTTCCACAAACATTTATACCTACCTCAACAAAATCTCCCGCTTTTGCAACAACTCTTTTGATAAATATATCTGCCGCTTTGTCTTCAGATAGCTAAATAGAAAACCAGCCATGTAACTGAACTGCATAACGAGCTACCTTCTAAGCATGTGAAATGTAGGCTAGATATTCCATACCACATCCTTCATTTACACATACCTGTGTTGGATCTCGGAATAATACAATATCCTGTACGACAGGACTCCTGATATAGTATGAAGCCTGTGGAAGTTCCAAAAGAATTTGAATCGTTAGTCAGATTGCAAATGAAGAAAGGAAAGGGAAAAGATAAAAACTATTTACTATTGTTACTTCCAAGCATTTCTTAATTACCAGAATACAAATGGTCGTCTGCTGAATTAACGGCACATGCAGCACTTAATGCAATAAAATATTACCGGCTTTTTATTACTTCACAGGATGCTAAAATCTGTGAATTTCATAAATGCCCCAACTTTATTCAGCAACTAAGAGGTTATCAGTTTCCAAAATTTCTTACTCCTGGACTTAAGAAGCAAGAATAAGAAACAAATATTTTCTGTTCAAACATAAATCCGCAATGACGCCAGTTGCCATACTGCATCTGGATCTTCTGTTGTATTAGTACAGATGCACCCTTAATTTGTCAGCAAACCATGATCTAATGCTAATATCTCTTTGATGAAGTGCGTTTTTCATCCTTCACCCATGTCCTTTCTCCCACGAGTCTTTACAGTCTATTTCCCAAATGTAATACTAAATTGTTCAGGAATTTTCTGAAAATTTTGAACACCCCTTATCCATTTCATTACATGTAGAAATGCATTAATGTTAAGATATTTTTGACATTGCAGTCTCTGTGTTTTACCTTTCTCACCACTGGCACACAAATTAGGAAGACTGAAAGCGTGTCTTCTCACAGAATAGCAACCTCAGCGCCATAAATCCTATCTTATTCATTACCTAACATGTCAGACAGAAATCCAATGGTGGAAAACTTTCTATGAAGAGCTTGAGCTTTTTGACGGAGACTAAGTTAGGACGGGATGTTATTTGCTAATTCTCATATTTAGTAGTTTGGAATGTTCTACAGGATATTTAAGTGGATTGGTTCTCCTATCTCAATAATTAGCCTTCAGGATAAGGTTCCTCATTCCACTTGAGTATCTCTCAATTGATATCAAAATCTGGCTGTCAGTGGCTTTAAAAAGGACTAACCATGGGGGTTCTAAAAGGCAAAGAAGTCGAATGCAATGTTGTAGAGTGTTGCCCTGCCAGGACGTACCATTAATTAAGGAAGATAAAAATTAAGATCATACACTACAACCATCATCCTCTTTTGGTTATCTTGAATTTCAAGTTATAAACATGCAAGGGGCTATAGTCAAAAGTCAAATTCATATCTGATGCAACTCAGACATCATGTCTTCATGCCATGGAGATTGAAGCAGCGGAAAACTTTTAAGGTTTCGCTGAGATTATCCCCTGGAGCTGGAAAAGACTTTAAAGACCCAAACTTTGTCAGCATATAGAAAGCAAGAACATCAAACTTTGAACAGAACCTGTCTCATTAACTGTAAAATTCATTAAACATTGGAGCTTGGGACCTATATGGTTTCAGACAAGGGATGTATAAAAGTTAAATTTATCCTGAAAAAACATAATAAGGTGTTTTCTCTGCAAAGTTGTAACACTTCTAGCCAACTGTGTGGTTGTGAAATGTGCGCACATGTAATTAGTCGTCAAACTCCATGAAAACCTGACTGATACAGCTATGCCTATCTGCTCCTACTGTAAATGCAGGACTTCCGAAGGCACATCTGATTTTTTTTGGACCTACTACTTAATTTGAATGGCTACATTGAAGAGATATAGGAATAATTAGATTTAAGATTTTTATTTTATTAGAATGGTCTTAGATTTGGCTTAGAATTTGCTTTGAATAAATGTAACTCTTTAGTTACTAGGTTATCTTTTAGATTATTCTAGAATATTTGCATTTAATTCTTGAGATTTCTATAATATTAACTTTTAATAATAGGGTTAGGGTTAAGCTTTGTAAATAGCACTTTAACACGATTGGTATGCCTTTTGATGAATTAAGATTGAATATTGAGTTTCTATCCCCAGAGTTTCTCTCTTTTCTCTAATTCTCTCTATCTGCTCCCCCCCCCCCCAAAAAAAAAAAAAATTCAATTCTTCCTTTCGCCACACTCATTCTGCATCAAATATTCTCCCAGATGGAATAATCCAACTGTTACAACTACATTAGTGGCTCAAAAAAGGGGCATGGAAGCCTTTCTATGATTCTATCTACAAGATGTGATCCGGCCATTGGTTAACATATACTTCGTCTAGTAGCAGCATTGGAATGATAGTAACATAGGCATATAAAAGGCGGGAGGCTAAGCTTGATAGTTATTCCACTTTAAGTTATGGGAGAGATATCTATGGATTCTCAGGAAAGGAATAAATGCAGGTAAATCTGCGGCAAATAAAGCTCCTATATTAATTACTGAACTTCTGGAGGCTTTATCCATATCCAAGTATCTAGACTTATCTTCTCAAGTCCCAGAGAATAAGAAAACATACACTACGAAGCATGATGAGCATTAGGGCCACAAAAATATACAAAAACGCGTCTTGTATTGAAGGGAAGACCAAGTCAAGAACAATCCGAAATTGTGTACCTTCTCAACAATTATTCGATCGCCGACAGTAAGAGTAGGATACATAGAAGATGAAGGTATGAAGCGAAGCTCCAAAAACATAGACCAGAGAAGGAACATCACCAAAAGTCTCAAGAAGCCATCGAGACCGGGCCATCGAAGAAAGCCCCAACTCTGACAGGGCATCCATCTGAAGGAAGGACAAGTAATAAGAAAGGCGTACAATGCTGAGGGCCTCAGGAAACTCATCAGATAAACTGCGGGAAAACAGCAAAGAGAAAAGTGGAGTCAGGAATTGAGAAAATCAAAGATTCAAAATTTTGAATGCCCAGAATAGCTGACTTTCAACTAAAATGGTTGTCCGAGCATATAAAGCAGATAATAGAGAAATCACGGTAAAATACACTCATAAGACAACAAACAATTGTGGGTTAACAATATTTTTAGATCAATAGCAGTGAGGGACGTCATTGTGATCGGCGATCACCATGGGAGAAGCCCCAGCTTCAGTCTTCAGCGTTCAGCCAACAGGGAGGGATTGATTTTGATTTATTATCTAATATCAGGTGATACATATGACAACTTGCTGGTTAAGTAATGAAAAGTGAATGCAGACAATCAGCCAAGATAAAAGAAGGCAACGCGGTCTAAACTTACGTCAGCAAGGCTGCTGATGCATGGTCTACAGTTTGCACAATCATCCAGTTAAGTGATGGTATAATTAATACCATGAACTCTAATTGCAACGTGACGAATTTTTTGTGCAGAAGACACATTTTATTAATTTACTTCGGTATCAAGTTGTTTTATAATAATAACACTTTTTACATTTATTTTTTAAAAATAAAAACATAAACAATAACAGATACATTTCATTTTATATAATTTTAAATCTACCCACTTATAAATTTATTTTTTTAAAATAAAAACACATATAACAAAAAAATACCTTTCATTTTATATAATTTTAAATATACTCATCTCTTGTTGGACCAACTCCACTAACTTCTTCAATTGTTGTTGTTCTTGCTTTTAACCTTGCATATATGGCTAGGGTAATAAGAAAGTGAGCAGAAGGAGAAAAGAACTTGAAAAGGAATGTAAACAATCATGAGTTTAGGACGATTTTGTAAAATGTCTTTGGAAGAAACAAATGAAAAAATTAGAGCTTTATGCAAATATTGCCATGCGACTCATACTTGTGGCCCAAACAAGTATGGAACAATATCCTTGAAAAAGGCAATTTTTAAAATGTCCTAAGAACCCACACAATGCTACCACGGCATCAAAGCAATCAAGTTAAACTAAGGACGCCAAATGGCCAGGGAGGAGCCTTAATCTCTCCTGCTTTTAAGCAAAAACGATAAAATTTGTTATTTGCGATGAGATGTCATTTGACATAGTTGAGAAGCATGAGTTTGGAAATTTTGTGAAAGAGTTAGAACCAATATTTTGAATCCCTTTACGAACAACAATTGCTAGAGATTGTTGGCAACTATATCTTGAAGAAGTTAAGACATTGAAGCAAATGTTAAAGAAGTCTACAGATTGTGTCTGCTTAACAACTAATTGCTAGACATCTGTTTAAAACTTCAATTACTTGTGCCTGACCAATCATTTCATTAATTTTGAGTGGAAGTTGCATGAAAGGATATTGAATTTCTGCATGATTAAGAATCACAAGAGTGAGATTATTAGCAAGACAATTAAGAAAGGCCTAGAATGGGGAATAGAGAAGGTGTTTGCCATGATAGTATACAATGTATCATCTAATTACACAAATCATATTTGAAAATGATGCTTAAGAATTAGAAGGGCATAGTTTATAAGGGTGATTACCTTTTTAATTGAGATGTTCTACATATATTCTGAACTTGATGGCTAAGGATAGGTTGAAGGAGTTGAAGAATAGCTTTAATGCAACCCGTAATGCAATTAAATATGTTGGTTCTTCTTTGACTCGTCTTCAAAAATTTAAAAGTGTTGTTGAATTGGAGAAATTTGACATTACTAGCCTTGTTTGCCTTGATGTTAATACTCGATGGAATTCAACTTACTTGATGTTGAAAACCATTTGAAGATTCGAAAGGGTTTTGAATAGTTAGAAGATGAAGATAAAGATTATATGGCACAATGCATTGAAAGTTCTAAGCATGAAGGCCTTCCTAAAGCTAGTGATTGGAACGAGGTATGAATGTTTCTCAAATTTTTGAAGGTATTTTATGATATAACGTTGATGTTTTTAAGTTTGTGTGGCTCTTAACATTTGTTTCCATCAAATTGCTCTTATTCATGAGTTATTGGAAGAGAACATTATAAATATTGATTAGTTGTTAATGGAGATGTTTAAGCTTACTTGTGTGAATCATATATTTGAATAACCTTTTCCTAATGTTGAAGTTTACATGGCCATGATGAATAAGATTAAATATATGTTCTACTGCATGTCTGATGAGTATTCTAAAGAACGAGAAAGCAGTACCCTTAAGCAATACTTCTTTTGCACTCTTAAGGTCATCACCAGTGTTTAAAGGCTAAGGTTAAGGCCAACCATTCGTGACCTGGATCTATACCATACGCTTGTAAAGAAAAAAGCTCATTTGACTCACAATTAAAATTAGATAAATATCTTTCATCTAACTCTACTAATGACACCCCTATTAATGATGATTTTTATATATTAGAATAGTAGAGAGCCAAGTCTAGAAAATATAAGGTTCTTTTTATGATGGCATGTGATGTCTTGGTTATTTCAATGTCTATAGTAGTCTTTAAATCAACATTCAGCATAGGAGGACGTTTAGTGGACTCTTAAGAGTTCATTGTCACCATAAATGACTAAAGCACTTATCTGTACTTAGAATTGGCTGCTTCCTGGACAATCTCTTTTTGATTTTGCATCCATACTTTTAGAGTTTAATAACTTTCAAGAGACAAAGGGTGTGGTGAAGACTGGTATATGTTTCACTAATGACATCGATTGTTTATATTTTATATGAATTATCATATATGTTTTAATTATAGTTGTTTTTTTATTCGTGTTGTAATGTCATTAACTATTTATATTTTACATATTTTCTAGTTCTTTCTAATGTTATTGATGTTGGAGATGATGGTTGTGTGAACATCATTTAATTTTGAATGGCACTTATATTTGTTACATTTCAAACTTTCAAATATTTTAGACATTTGTCTTAAACTTACCTTATGTTATGTAAATAAACATGGTGATAGACTAATATTTATTTTTTAGCTAGTAGGCTATATCATATGGTTAGCTAGAATATATGGATAGTCACCTTTTTTTTTTAATACAAGGCCACGACAAAAACCCTACAAAAGAGACAAATATCAAGTCATGTCTACAATCACAAGGTTTCCATAGTCGCGGGAGGTTATCAAGAATCCTAATATCAAAGCTATTTATCCCAAGATAGCTAGTGGGCAAGAAGATCAATACACCTACTAGCTTCTTTGTAAACATTGTAGGAAGTAATAACCTAATCCTTCATGGTGAGATATATGATTTTCTTGCAATTTTCAGAGAGTGGGTGTCTTTTAGAGTAATTATTCTCAGTGGGTGATAAAGTTTCAATCAAATTGAAGTAGGCATTGACTTTAGAGAGTTTAACATTCTAATAAAGATTAAAACCTTCCAAAATCTTGATGAGTTTAGTTGTTGTGCTAGAGTAATAACTAATGTATTTGAAAATTTCTTTAATCCAATTACCCTTTAGGATGATCACTTTTATAGGTGGACTATGAAGCTCAACAATGCAATATTGAATCGTTGACTAAGTAGTAGATCATGGTTGAATTATGTAGTTATGGTAAGATGTGAAGATTGACTTTTTTAAGTTATATTGATTTAGGTTTGATGACGGTGTGAGTACATGTGTGCTCATTGTAAAGTTGGATATTTTATAGTTAGTAATATCATTATCCGATCAAATTTCAAAGTGCAATTTAAATTTTGAACTGTTATCTAGTGGTGTGGTTTCTTTAAAAGAAGAAGAAGAAGAATTGCATGAGAAAATAAAATGTTTTATTTTATTTTGTTATTGCATTATATTATATTTTTCATATTACAACGAAGATAATTTATCTTCCTCTCCTATTAGTAGAAGATTAAATATATCCATCACCTACAAATAAAAATAGTCATGGTCCTTTATAAAAAAAAAAAACTCACGGTCCAATGAATTGGTCTAGTAACTCAATAGACTAAATCTAACCCGATATAGGTATTAGGTTCAATCGGACTAGATCGATCATTAGACTATAAATTCTAGCCTAGTCTTCATTTAAACCAAACTTTGGGTTGGCATCCAAACCCTATCGTACTTGTACAACCCTAATTTTAAGGTATAATTAATGTATTTTTTAAAAAATATTTTTAATAAATGAATCATTTTATATTTATTTTCAAGTAAAACGCTCTACTAAATAAGAGTAAATATGAGAAGATAATATTTTTTAATACAATTATCTATTATTCATGGGCCAAGCCACGTAGGACCATATTAGTAGCAAAACTTTATGACGAAATAATATTAGTTTAAAGATAATTAATTAATTTATTGGAGGTAAACTTTTTTTTTCTAGCTTGAATTAGAGATGAAATTTGATTCAAAATACTTTACACTTTTTAATGAAAATATTTTTTTTTGCTTCACACCAAAACGATGCTATTACAGGGTTTAAAAAAAATGTATGCAAAATTAGAATGTCTCTAATATGCCTCTAAAATGATGGGTCACTTGTGTTAATCAAATCAATATGTGTATGGTTTTGTGCTCACCACGTGATGCTTGTCACCTCACAAGTATCTAGATTGTCTAAATTTACATGTCTTGTTTTATATTTATTAAAATAAAAATTATAAAATTATAAAAAATTTATTTTAGATAATGCGGACTAAATTTAGACTGCTTAATTTAATATTAAAAGTTTTTATAATTTTTATAAATAAACTATCTAGATGTATTAAATTGCAACTTTTTCTTAATTTTTTTTAAAGTGCTAACCTGAAAATTATCTCATAAAATAACAATTTAGAGAATTTTAAAATAATTAATATTGAATTTAGATTGTTTAGAATATATCTAGTTTATTAATTTATAAAATTATAAAAAATTTTAATGTTAAATTTGACCATGCAAATTAAATATCCATTATCCAGAATATAATAACCAATAAGTTAGATTTATTAAAATTTTATAAATTTTTAAAAAACATAAAATAAAAATATAAAAATAAAATTGTAATGTCTAAATTTTTTAATTAGACAGTCAAGATGCTCTTGTGATTAGCACATAAACCAAATGCCTGCAAGCCCATCACCCTAAACTCATCTCTGTTGTTAAAGGCAAGCAAAACGGAACAAAATCGATCAAATCATATTAATCCAATTAAAATCTAATAAAATTAATTATTGGTAAGGTTTGGCTTGGTTTTACGAATTAAAAAATTAAATAATTTGGTTTAAGTTTTATTTTTTTCTTTAAAACATTCATACCTTTTATATTTTTAAGTGTATTTTTTTATAATTAATACTAAATTATTAATTAGTATTTATTATTTTTAAATTTTAACCTCAACTAAAGTTCAACACAAACCCAACATTAATTTACGTAATATATTGTTCTTTATCAAGAATCTTAAGTGAAAGAAGATGCTAATAAATTTATAAATATAAAAATAATTTATAATAAAATTTAACTCATGTTAACATAATTATAATGCATATACTTTTATATTTATTCAAAACAAAATTTAATTATTTTTATTTTTAATATAATATTTATTTTTATTAATAAATAATAAAATTAAAAATATAACTTGAGATTGAAATATAAAATAAAAGCAAATAAAAAAAGTATTATAATTTATTTCATATATAAATTAAATTAAATCATTTAAAAATCAAAACAAACTGACTTTAATAGAAAACTGAACAGATGTCATTTTTTGTACAAGTGGATTGATTTGGTTTGATTCCTCCATCGAACTTGTCTCCACTTCGCTTCTTCCTCTTCTCAGTTCCTCGTTCCTCGTGGCCTCAGAGTTCAGATTCTTCTCACTGTATGGTTTGATCTGTCTTCTCGTGGCTTCAGTTCCTCGTTCCTCGCGTCGTGAACTCGTCTCTTCTGGTTTGACCTATCTCTCCCTCCCACTCACTCTCCTTGTTCAGTTCGATTTTAAATTTTTATTTATGCTGAATGATTTGTGCTGATTTTAAATTTAAAAATTTTTCTCCCCAAAATAACTGTATGTTTCTTTTGTTGAATCATTCATGTCACGTTATCAGCTGTAATACTGGAATCAGAATTTTTTATATTACATTTTTAGATTTCAGAATTCCATTTTTTTATCAGTACTGTAATCAGAAAATGCAATCAGATAGAAATGATTTGTTATTTTCAATTCTAGCTCTTAACGAGAAAATTATTCGCTGATTTTGTAGAATGAATTATTTGTGTGTTGATTGCTGAATTATTTATGCTGAATTATTTGTGCTGAGTTATTGTTTCTTTATTGTACGATTGTTTGTTTATTACTTTATTTGTGTTGAAATTATTTCAGCTCCTAATGTCTCAATATACTGGAGATTTGAATAAAGTTAATTATGATTTTGGTGATGATGATTATTATTTTAGACTTCTTAAAGATTGAATGATGGTAGGGATGAGTGTTTTGATTATTATTTTAATTCATTGCTCAGCTTAGCTGTCATCTTGACGACCGGCCACCTTCTTATCTCGCAGACCTGAGCTTTACAAGTCTAGGGTGCTGGAACTGAATGCAAGTGATGATCGTGGGATTAATGTTGTGTGGACAAAGATAAAGGATTTTGCTGCTGTGGCTGTTAGCACCAATCAGCGTAAGAGGTATGTTATATTGTAATATCTAGTCCTCTTTTGTGATTGATTTCCTTTATCTGTTTTGTCCGTACATATTTTTCTGCTGTCCTCTCATTATTTTGGTGTTATCAAATTCAGTGGTTATCCATGCCCGCTATATAAGATTATTGTTCTAGATGAGGCAGATTCAATGGCCGAAGATGCTCAGGCATGTTTCTTTTTATTTAGAATTTCTAACTTTGGTTGTTGTGAAGTTCCATGTTCCCTCACCTCCTATATTCTTTTGTACAGAATGCTCTGCGTCGTACAATGGAGACTTACTCTAAGGTTACAAGGTTCTTTTTTATATGCAATTACATTAGTAGGTATCTTATCTGTCCTATTATAACTGACAAACTACCATCCTTGGCATTTTTACTATCATGTTTTTGTCCTTCTTCTATTCATGTCAATTTTTGGATCAAGGAGAGATGTGCCTTGGGTTTTATAACAGAAAGGTTATAAATTTTTGTAAGATTATAGAACCACTTGCTTCAAGGTGTGCAAAATTCAGGTTTAAGCTGCTGTCAAAAGAAATCATGAGCAGTCGAATACTGTACATTTGCAAAGAAGAAGGACTTAATCTTGATTCTGAGGTGGGAAGCAAATAGATTAGAGCTTGTACAGCAATACTATTTGTTAGGAACATATGTATATGCATGCATGTGTGTGTGTGTGTGTTCTTTGTTTATGGTGGTTTTGTAGACATCTTAGTGAAATATTTAATTCTTCTTTACCTCCATAGGCTCTTTCAAACCTTGGCTCCATTTCTCAAGGGGATCTCCGTAGGGCTATTACATACTTGCAGGCGAGGTACTTTCTTTGGTATCATATTTTTGTACTTCAAAGACGTGAGTTATGGTACTTCTGATTTTGTGATTTCACATGATGGTTGTGTTTCCTGTAATTTTAGTGGCTCAATAACTTTGTGAACTGAGCTGGAACAACTTAGGAATGTTAGCGTGCGTGTGTTAATGGGTATGATTCTAACTCATTCTGCTCTATACCATCAAACAACCTTGCTAATTTCTTTAACTGAGCTGGAACAACTTATGAATGTTAGCGTGCGTGTGTTAATGGGTATGATTCTAACTCATTCTGCTCTATACCATCAAACAACCTTGCTAATTTCTTTGATATCTCGTTATCCACCAAATTAAAGTGTTTTTGGTAGTTTTCCAAGTTTCTTTGATAGTAGGTCTGCTTTGCTGTCTTTCACCTTATGTGTGCAAAGCTAGTTTATGCGAAAAAATTCAGATTTTGTGCACAATAGTTGATTAGAAACTTAGTGGTACCGCCAAGAGGTTTTGCTTTACTTATGTTCCCTTCATTGGAGAACACTTTATAATCTTGTATTGTTTTTTCAATGAAGCAGCTTTCAAAAAGAAAAGGAATGAAGTTTCTTTTTTAATTATTTATGCTATGGATTTCAACTTCATCTATTCAGTTTTTGGTGGCTTAATCTCTTCTCTGACAACAGCAATGAGCAAGCCTTGGCACATAGTTTCAAGAATCTATGCATGGTTATCTGTCATTTGAACTAACCTATTGACATTGCAGTCAGCTGCCCTTTTATTTGGGTCTTCAATTTCTTCAAAGGACCTGATTTCTGTCTCTGGGGGTAGATTGTGGTGCTATGTTTCCTTTGTCTTGTCAATTTTTGTGAAAAGTTAAAATATGGTATGCATTAAAAGTTGTTTGGAGCCATCATGATTGGCATAATGTTAGTGGAAAGTAGAAACTGGTTATTATGTAGTCAATGGTGTTTTTGCTTAATGGTATCTCTCTGGCCTAAAAAGGTTGAAGGGTTTGAATTGCAACTGTTGCTTTATTTGCTCCTTTTGTTTTCTCCTTTAAATAACTTCCTCCCCTGGGAACACTTGTTTATTTAAAATTGTAATACTTTATTCATTTTCACCTTGTCATTTCCTGACTCCCTAAAATCTCTCAATGTATATGGTCATTGCTACAGAGGTTGTGCAAGCATTTCTTGCAACATGTAAAAGTGGTAATTTTGATTTAGCAAACAAGGAAGTCAATGACAATTACTGAGTCATGTCTGTTTCTCCAGTTTGGGAAATCCTTTTTTGCCAATAATTGCAGAATCAATTCTTTTACTGAAGGATATTGAATTTTTGTTTAATCCAGTTATTTGAGGCCATTGTTGAAGCAGATGATATATCAGATGAACAGAAAGCAAGAATATCCAAGAAATTGGCTGAAGCTGATAAGGTGCCTTTTGATCCTTATGTTTCATCAGTTGTTTTGACCTCATGTTTTGGATTTCAAAACTGTAGTTTATCCTGCTCGTCAGTTGGGGCTCCAGCATCTTTTAATTGGCTTTTAAAAGCTTAATAAGTTTGCTCAATGCCTGTGCGGCAATGGCTTATTTATTGCTTGTGGATTTGCTGTGCCTTGTTGATGGTGATGAATATTTGCAGCTTCTTGACGTGGCCGGCAATACAATTCGAGCTTGTTGTAACATGCCAGAGGGATTTTCTTTCGAGGGCTAGGTAGGAATGTAAAATCATCCGCATGCAGCTTGTTAAATCTTTCAAGGGTCATTTTTTAAATTCTTCTTGTAGTAAATTTGAAATTTAAAAAACGAAGATTAATTGCACTCCGAGTAGCTCATTGAGATTTAGTTTTCTATCGGTAATGATAGATCTACAGTGGCCTATTTTATTTTATTTTTTTTTTATTTTTTTTTTTGGTGTGTAAACTCGAGTCTACTAGAATTCACACTATGTAATGGTGGCAAGTTCAAAGTCTCGGGTTTGCGGAAACTTACAATTGTGTATGTAATCTGTGTCTATAACACGCTTCCAAATAGCTTCGAGGTCTTGTTACCTGTGTACTTTATGAACATCTGTAAGGAAAAAGAAAAACAAGAGATTCCTGTATTCATACCTCGGTTTGTAGTTTCAAGCCTCATCATTATATTCCTTTTTCCTCAAAACTCTCATTTTTTGCTGGCTGTGTTAAATTTGAGAGTATTATGCAGATGATACTTTCATTTGAGCTTCCATTGGCTTTGATCCCATTCCTCAAGTTTAGCAGCAGCAGCACCAAGATGGGTCCTCACAAGAATTCTCTAATTGTGAGCTGTTTTTCTTTCGCTTTCACCTTTATATGATCCAGTGAGCATCAAAATCAAAATTGAATGAAGGGTGTCAAGACTTGTGTGCAGATCGTGGTCATATCATAGATTCTCGGGATAGGGATTATCGAAATCAATCTGTATTACCTAAGTACAGGGTCGGCTAATTCATAACAGTCTACCAAGGTTGCAATTGTGTTCAGTGGGATCGTAGTTTTTCTTTCAATGGCAATATACATTGTAGCGGTGATTTACCTACTCGCAAGAAAAGACACTATAAACACGTATATCGAGACGAAGAACGACTTCACAGTACAGACCCAGGTGGAAAAGGGGTTCATGAATTCTAATAGGCAATTGGAGTCGGGTCCTGTTCCCTACAGAGAGGATTGAGCCGACATATCGTTTCCAGAATATGGGACTCCTAATATGATTATTGCCTTTGGACGGCAAGTATCTGTAATTTCTTGTGGTTCTCCGTCTGTGACTTGAGATGTACTGAAACGGAATGATAACTTTCTATATTGATTCCTTCTATTCTGCTGTTATAGTAGTTACAAAGTCATAATGCTCAAATGATAATATCCATGATAAGGAGCTTGTAACTCCCATACAATGGCCATAATAAGTAGCTTATAATACCTGTAACCTCCCCTTGTGTTTAATATATTGCTTAAAATTTTAGATAAAACTAGCCTTATATGATTGGTATAAATAGGCTACCTATTGTCAACTTTATTAATCAAGAGAATAATATAACGCTCTTACCAAGGTGAGAGGGTATTCTTTTTTTGTTTTTTGTTTTTCCTTGTCCTTCAACTCCTGAGCCATGTAGTGTAGTTTCAAGATTCAAATTGCACTAATGTTTCGTTTCGTTATTAAAAAGAAATGAAATAGATTGAGCAAATTAAGATAAAAATAAATTAAATTACTTTTCTCTCCATAGTAAAACTTATTAATATATATTACATATGTAAAAATCATTATACCCTTCAAATATTTTATGAATCATGATTTTTAATCTCATGAATTAAATTATTCTTTCTTCTTATAAATTTACTTATATATATTTTTTAATCATTTTATTTTTATATTTATTTTTTTAATATATTTCATTCCATTTCTTTTTAGTAAGTAAACGGAACTTAAGTTTTCAGATATTCTTGGATGCAGAAGACAAATATTTGGCATACTGATCTCTGGTGAAGATCATAAATTTATAAATAAATTCTGAAAACCTTAAACCCGAGTAAGTTAAGGGCATTATCACAGGTGAAGATCATCACATTCTCGGAAGCATTGTATATTTCTTCGAAGTAATACAATCCAAAACATGGAATGCATCAAGGCAAAGAACTTTTGCAGGCTGTACTTGTTGGCCGTTGCCGGACAGACCCTGTCCCTGAGATGCTAGGTTGTGAGGGTCTGAGGGAGAAGCAAACATCTGATGCCTACAACCGCCATTATTGTTAGTAATGAACAATGTAACTATTTTCTTCTAACCCCATTCTAGTGATTTATTAAAGGATTTAATTGTGCATATTAATCCAATACTTTGATGTGGCATGTCATTTTTCTCCTTGATGATTGTTGAATCATCCAGCTCAGCTACTATTTCCATCTCAGTAGGTGATGCCAAGTTATAATCTATTCATGTGAAATTTGTTAACGATTGCATATTATGAACATGCGCATAAATATCTCTTCTGGCGCATCAAATATGGAATGAGAATAAAGTGAAAAATTTTGATCTCTATTACTGATGAATGGACATAAACTATTAAAGAGTAGAGACAAAGGTAAATCCAACTCTTTCACCAAAAGTAAATACCAATTTGAAAAACAAATTCTTCTCGGTGGAGAAGACAATGTTGCTCGTCTGTATGGAGAATTGGAGACTTGAAATTCTCGTATTTTTGGGATAATCAAAACCCTAATCCAAATGCGAGAGATAAATAGAATCACAGTCTCTCTGTAGTGCACATCATATCATGTATTAACAAGGCAAGTGCGTGATTGAGGATAGAGCATTCCCTTGAATCCAGATATGCAATGATATTCATTCATGACAATGTGACTGTGTCCAGAGAAATCCTAAGGGGGTCTCCTGTTTCTTCTTCAAACAGAACTAGTAGGTTTCCAGAAGGTTTCAGGAGGGATCGAGGGATATGGTACCTGAACAGATTTTCCCCCCAAATTGTGGAGTTTTGTAAGCAAATGTCAAACATCAGTCAATGATACATACCTCAAAACAAAATGAAAAAGTGACAGAGGAACCTACCATCTCTGTGAAGGATTCCCTTTCGGCGTGACGAATGATACCCAATAACGGCCAATACTCTCCCCATTAACCCAAACTTCACCCTTCCCCATAGAACCAAGATCAAGTGCTATCGGATTATTTCCTGGTGGTGCATCAAATGTGGTCTGCAAAAATTTTCTTTTACTTGTAACTGGTAATTTCGATTGTCCAAATGTGAATGACAGTGGCACACTATCACTATAAAGTGTTCATGGAATACAATAAAAATTTGTCACCAATAGAAGGCGAATGGAAGAAGAAAAAGGCAATGACAGCCTCAAGCACAAAGTACTAGAAGAGAAATTGTAGCTATTTGGATTTCCTGTAAGGTTTTCTATGCACGATGGATTTACTAATTTGAACTAAATGCTTTTAAAGTACTCTTACCTTATACCACCCCAGTGGATTTGTTGACCTTCCGAGCCTTTTCCACTGAACTTTACTTGATCCAGTAACTGTATAGATTTGCAACTTTTCTCCTAATAACCCAACCTTCATTCAAAACTTAAACGTAAGCACGTAATGAAACAAAATTACCCACAAATGTACTAGAGAAACGCATGCACGCGCAAACATCACGGTTTCTAATTAAGAAATAAAGATGGATATCTTATTTCCCTGCAGTCTGCTAAATTATCGTGTTTTTTAGCTTCAGATTTAATCACCTGATATCCCCAGGTATGATGATTAAAATCTCTATCACCAACTCTGACACTGCGCAATCCAGCAACTTTGCGCTCTAGGTGTGCTCCAGAATCCTTAATGTAAAAATATAATGAATATGTCATGTTATTCATTAGCTTTCTTTATCTCTGTTGTCAAGTCTTAATTTTGCATGTTAATCCAATGTATATCATTTATACATATATATATATATATATTGCTTGTTGATAATGAATGAAAAGGAACTGTTGAAAACAAGGACACTAGTACCGGCAATCCAACTGTTGCACTGAGGAAGGAAATATGGTTGACTCCTTTTCTCAATTTGATATTGCGGTTCATGGTGAAAGATACATTGTTGTGAATTCCATGTGCAGAACCTAGAATTGAGAGGAGGAAAGATACAGCAACATACACTGTTGTGAAAATGAAAGAAATGTGTGATCTAATGAATCATTGCTTGTGGCATGTTATCTTCAGCAAATGTCGATTTTAATTGCAATTCACATGTTACCCTGAAATTACAACTTCCTATGCTATGGTTTACACAATCCATAATTGTCCATTCTCATAAAAAAAGATTTATATTTGATGTGATCATCGTTTGATCAATTTTATGTTGTCAATCTATGAAAAAGACTTGGAGATTTAGAGCTTGCCTGCTAGAACTCCATTGACGAATGCATGCAAGATATGTCCATGGCTAGATGCACTGAGAAACGATTGAGAATTTGAATGACGAAACCTGGGTGAGTAAGATTGATAGCAAGCATATTAGTGTATAACAAAACTTAGTTAAGGCAACAAACGTCATAAATGAAGTTGATGCTGATTACTTGTGTTTCTGATTACCTGAAAATATACCACAAATAGTCAGATTTATCTTTTGCCGTGCTGATCTGATCTAATAGCCTGTTTGCTCTTAAGGTAGTGTGAACGATGCTAGGAATGGCTTCTTTGTACACTTCCCATTGTTCAGCTGATTTAAAATGTACTACAGGTTTCATTGTTCTGGTACTGTATTTTGCATTTACCTACAATAGCTGCTCATAAGTAAGAAGTTCCTTTTTTCCTGGTTGAAGCGTTTCTTAAAATTTCAAAACATTCATGTTCTGAGCATTTGGTTCTTACTTTGGCAGTGTTGAAGGCTACACTCCTGCAATCTGGGAGAATGCTAATTGATTTTGGAGGTAGTTTATATGGAATGCTATGAAATCGGACGGTGACTTCTCTGTTATCTTTATTTTCCAGAAAGGCAGCACATTCTGTTTTGCTCTCTCTGAAAACATAGGCCTGGAGAAGATGGGATGGCCAAGGAATAATTTTTGTTTCAAGTATAAAATGAAGTCATTAATTATCAGATAATATATATGTCCAAGAGTTGTAAACATCTTACTTCTTGTTGCCCCCCCAAGCTGAGGGTAGCTTGGGTAGAAGAAAGTATAGTTTTTGAGCAGGACTTGATCGCAGCATGTAGGTCTCTGAGATGCCCCCATTTTGGCTGCCTAATTAAACCTAATCACATTAGCACAGGCAAGTCATGAAGTGATTTGAAATTCTGCAGCTGTGTAATTTGAGAAAGGAGAGAAATGAACCATATTCATCTAGAGGGGCTTCATCATAATAAGCCGTAATCATAAAAGTAGCAGATGTTCTTCCAAAATTGGTTCCTCCGTGGTACTGTATCAAACCCATAATTTAAACTAGAGAACACATTTACGGCTTATTTTATTTATAGAGCAGAGCAAACAGCCGTAACTCATACCATGTAGTAGTTGACATAGCTTCCCTTCTTTGCAACGAACAAGGCAACATTATACGCAATATTTTCAGCTGATCTCAAGTACGGTTCATTACCAAAGGCTTGATAGCTTCAGATTTCCAAGTAAACTAAAGGGCATTAGTCAAGTTATATACTTTGGCGTCTATTTCAGTGGGATTGTAAACGGAAGGAAGAAATCCACTAGAACATACAAACTTGTCCAGTTCTCTGTCCAGATTGAAGGTTTATGAGGCGAGTTAGGTCCCTTGAATGTTCTCCCACATTCCATACCATTGCACGCGTTGATCTACCAGAGTACATTGATCATATAATTATTAGTCAAGTTGTCAATATCTATACAGTGAATTTGTGATTAAATCCATGAAAACGAGACTGTGGAACGAACCACCGGATCAGGAGCATCATCTTGCTTGCACATAACCCAGGGCACACCAGTGTGAAGCCCCACGACCATTTGTGCTGCCCAATGAACATAGCGTGGTCCTCCCTCGTGAAAAGCCGGTTCAATCGTGCCATACTCGTTCTCGATCTGCATTGTATGGAACATTCAAATTCACGTAGGCAGAAAAATGGCACAAGCATGTGATATTAACTAACAGTCAAGTTTTATTCTGGCAAAGCTTCAAACCTGTGACAGTATGATAGGCCCTCCTTGTGAAGCATAAAGATTGTGGGATTTCATCAAGTTTACAATTTTGGCGGTGAACTTTTGCATTTGATACTGCCATTCATGGAACAGAAAGGATTTTGAGTGAACCACTTTTACGGCGTAGCTCAAGTTACAGAGTAATTAGAAGAGTGAACACCTTGAATGGCTCATTATCTGATCTAAAAACAATGCCCGGAATGTCATGCAACCAAACGGGCAAACCCCTGCTCCAAAAGAAGCATAATGAGTAGAAGAGAGCAAAGTTTTGATTTTGTTTGTTGACAAAGTAATGATGAGCTGGTGAGGAGGTCTAACCCATAAGTCCATTCACTCTCAATGAAAGGTCCAATTCTGAGGGTGACATATAAACCTTGTGCTTGGATCTTCTTGATGAACCTCACTATATCACGCCTTCCACTGCAGTCATACTGCAAATCAACACAAGGATGAGTAATATTCGTCAATCTGTTTATCTAGTGAAAAGAGAGTGAGAAGAGAATGGTGAGGTCACCTGGCCTTGTTTAGGCTCATGAAGGTTCCAAAATACGTAAGTTTGAATGACATCTATGCCTCCCTGCTTGGCTTTGGAAATTAAGGAAGGCCACATCTATTCCAAAAAAACAAAAAAAACAAAAACTTGCTTTGAGGCACATCGGGTGAGGCCCGGCCCATCTTCAAACAGTGAACCCATTCATGTGTCACAGAAGAGTCCTTTACATTCACAAACTGCAACACGAGCCAAGGCAACTCATGGCCTTCACTCCAGTCAATGACGGTTCATGTTACCCGCGGACTAACGGCGTGGTTAGTCAAAAGTCAAAACTGGTGGCATTCATCAACCTGATCCTGGTTCTAATTTTAAAATTCAAGTTTTTTTTTTTTGAAAAATCCGTACAATTATGTCGGTAACTTGGCTCTTAATTTTTCAAACAAAAAAAGAAGATATATCATGGTGAACTTAAAAACAGTGTCTTCGTTAAATTAAAAAAAATTGTTTTTGTCCAAGAAAGATGACCTACCTATATATATTTGGTCTTTCAAATTAAATAAATACGAGTCTTTCAAATAAATCTTTATTTATTTATCTTAATTGTGTTGACAGATTGAATTGAAAAGCATATTCTGGACTTGATTTAATTTTACAAATAAATAAAATGACAAAAAATATTAAAAAGAAATCAAGAATATGAATTAAGAAATTTAAAAAGTATACCGAAATTTTGGGGGCAAAATAGTAATTTCAGAAAATAATTATAGAATATCTTGGCCAGAATAAAACTCATATGATCTTTAAAAATGAAATAATGGTGCCAGAATAAATAAGAAAAATAATAATAAAATCCATCTGAAATATATAAATGATAATTTAATCTCTTGAAATGTCATAATTTATCTGAAATCGTTAAAAAAATTTTCATCATTAATAAATTTATATAAATTATTAAATTATTGCTGTTGAAAATAAATGATTTACAAGTTTGTTTAAATATTTACAACTTTCTTTCTTATATTTGTAATAATGTAACAGCAAATAAGAAATTTAACATGCGAAATTGTGATTTGTTATTACGTTGTTATGAATATAAAAAAAAAGTTATGAATATTTAAATAAAACTTATGAACCACTATTTTCAATAAAAGTAATTTGATAATTTATATAAATTTAATAATGACAAAAAAGTTTTCAAATACTTCAGAAAAATTATGATATTTTAAAAGATTAAATTATTATTTATATGTTTTAGAAGAATTTTATTAGAAAAATGAACAGAAAAGCACATACAGAGTAGAATTAATGTTGAAGTCCAAGTTCTCTGCTTCGTGTCATGATAAAATAAAAAAGAAAAAAAAAACACTCTATCGAATCGAAACAGCTCGCCATCTTTAATTTGAGACTTTTGTGAATCCCATTGGAGCTAGCAAGCGTCTGTCTATGCACGATGCTTCAGATAATTAATTACTCGTTATCTGAATTTTGTCAAACTAATTAAGCCCATGGATTTCCGGGGAACACGAATTAAGTTTGTCACCTAACAAAGACATTAAGAATATATGATTCCGTACGAGTACTATACGATATCATCTCTTATTTGTCTCTCTCGAGTTCATATTTCTGACAATGTAGATGATGATTTGTCAAGATCAGAAGAAACTGCAATAGCGATAAAGATGAGGAGTACTGGTAAGGGAAAGTACCTCAGGAGTGCTGCGAGGATAGTGAATTGAACCGGAGAAAACGATTTTGTGTTCACCGTTGATGATTAAAGACCTGCCATCGTAGGTGACATTGCCTCCCTGGGCACCGCCCCAAGCCGCCGTCAAAACTAGTGCTAGAGGCCACCACCACCGCCACTTCACCACCAACTTCTCCTTCTGCGCCATCTTTTAAAAACTCTAGCTTGGTGTGGTCTCTAAAGCCAGCTTCTTTTGTAACTTGCCAACCAGCTACGCGCGCGCGCGCTTCTGATCTCTACCTATTTGTACGTGAGAGAGAGAGAGAGAGAGAGAGAGTCAGTCTCTTCATCCATGCATACATGGAATTAGCTGAAACTACACCCAACAATCCCAAATTTAATTGAAAAATAAAGCTGAGTGACTTCAGCAAATTGGATTTTTTTGGTTATATATTCAAAAGATTAGACTACTGGGCTTTTACTTGCACCCTACTTCTACCATCTAGATTAATGTGAAATGACAGCAAATCTAACATTTAATTACATCCCCCCCCCCTCCAAAGACATCACTCAATTTCAACTCTAATCATTTTATATGTGTGCGTGTGTGTGTGTTGAAAAATTTACTGCATATTTTACATCATTAAGCCACTTATAGTGTAATTTTTTACCCTTCTTAACTGTCATGGTTCATGTCCAAATGATGCATGTTACTTACAGTAGTTATTAAAAATATTTAGTTAAAGTGGCGTTATAGAATATAATAACAAAAATAATTTAATATAAAACTATAATTTTTTTTAATAACAAACAGTACAACTAAATGTTTTTTTTTCCTTGGAGAATCAATGCATTTTAGGAGTAAAATGTAAGAGAATTAAATGATTATCGCAAAAAAAAAAAAAAAAAAGAATCCATACGTCAGGGTAGTAGTACAAATTCAGTCTAAAAATTTAACTTTTATAAATTAAAAGGAAAACTTGTCTTATGAATATTTCCTTATCATATATATATATATATGTGTGTGTTTAATTTTCTTTATGAGAAGATCAACAAGAATATTTATTAATGATATATACATTCATTCCATATTGTTCAAGAGTGTCAATTCATCTAAACGATACCAGATCATTATATTAATTATTGGGTGCGATGTGGTCACTGTTTAATTAATGTATGGTTTATATATGTTGTTGCACATGAAACCTCATGCGAGAAGACGAGAACCAACAAAATAATGAAGATATGTATCTTGTCCCTGCAATGCCATGTTTAATTCATTCGCCATCCGATGCTATTAACTTATTTAGGCGTGGGCGTATGTCAACCAAACCCCAACACATGTGAACTTGAGATCCAACACATTAATTGGAATATGCATTTTAAACGACTAACAACTACTCGTATTTAAAATTAGGTTGCCAATAAGAACACATAACTACTACACGTACACACAATTAGGTTACCAACAATGATCATGAGCACGAAATTATTTGCATGTGGCGCTTAATTATCAACTTAGTTGTTAGCACTCGCATGCATGTGCAGCCTCGTGAGTGAAGGAATATTGACTCGGCCTTCGGAGACGGACAAAATGAAGAAAAAATTAAATTTGTAACGAAACGAAGAAAATATGATGTGCGGATCTGTCAGAAAACGGTATCAAGTCAATCTTGTCAAATGATGAAGGAGGAATTAGATTAGATGGGCTTATAAGACAGATAAGCAACGTTGACGTTATATATGAACTAAATCACCAATTATTTATAGTTACGTTCCAATCTTCCAATAGCTTTCTCCACTCTTTTTTTCCCTTCTTCACGGCCTGATGACTAGCACAGTTCATTTCTTGGCCACAACACTTACAACTCATTGTAAATTAATGTAACTCTTCGACGAATACAAGTCCCTCTGGCTACTTGCAAATAAGATGCAATGTGCACAAAAGAATTACACTGCTGCGCTGGATGGAGCGTAGGTAATTAACTTAATTGGTTTGGTCTGAGTTAAAATTTATCATTTAGGAATTAAATCTTGTTAACACACACAGAGATAGTTATCATAACGTACAGGGTGCAAAAGCATGCCTCTATTAAGCCAAAGAAGAAGAAATCCTTCGCATGAAGGATTATAAGCCAACCCCAAATTAAACTATATATTTTGTGGCAAAATAATTAATGAGGTGAGGCCGTGAGGGTCTAACATATATTAACATCTCTCCTGAGACAGGATATTAACCACTGTAAATTCTAACAAATTGTGACATCATCCTTTATATAGAACTTAAGACAACCAACTTTTTAAAATGTGATTAACACTAATAGCTGTAACTAATCCATTCTTCCAACAAAAGCTAGAAGAATTCTTAATAAGTTAGATGAAGTTCAGTGTCAACGTCAATTAATGCTAGTTTTTGGGAGTCAATTAACACTCGGTGCGGCCATCCTGTTCCTGTATTTTCAATTCTTCATCAATACGACGCCTTCTGTATTAAACAGGCGTCTCTCTTGTTCGTACATGTCAATTTTCTCCCTTATGCAAATGATTCATGCGCAGCATTGGCTAATCACTTGAGCAAGTGACAATTTATTGGTTTGCTTGTGTCAAACATCGCAGTTAATGCACCATTTTATATTCATATGGATCACATCTCAAACAGCGCTATTAATTTATTCGGAACTCTCCCTGCAACATGATCCACCGTTCTCAACAAAAATATTCTAATTCCACATTCTTCGATACCAAAGCCCGCTTTGCATCTGTATATTCATAGAAATCGTAGTTAGATACCGAATACATATTTTAATTTTACTTAGAATATTAACTCTTTCTATTTATTAATACCATTTCATGCTCAGTAAAATGAACAAAGAAATATACCTGCTTTACCGAAGTCAATGCATTATCATAGCATAAGTCCTCGCAATTTTCAGGTAAGAGTCTTTTTTTTTTTTTAGAGGTTGGAGCAGCTTTGCGAACTTTTACATTATGACACGAGGCCCATACAATCTTCCAGGTTTTTTTTTTGCTATGTTGTGAACCCTAATGGGCTATGGACTATACAATACGAGTACACACGCATAATGTGATTTTACAGATGTAGGTCCAAATTAATGACCGAAGTCCAAGTCAGAGGCTCGTGCGGCCCAAAAGTGACGGAACAGGCCCATTTTGTGTTTCCACCATGCCCAGATCGCGAGGGTGTTGGAGTGGTATCCAAGCCAGCCTTCGATGCGTTCGCTGCAAATTCAATAAACAACTAATCTCCCTCAATTTCCCGTCAAAAGCAAACCAGAAAATCAGAAGTGATTCTCGGGAAGATGTCGATCTTCGAGTACAATGGTAGTGCCCTAGTGGCCATGGTGGGTAAGAACTGTTTCGCCATCGCAAGTGATCGGAGGCTCGGTGTTCAGCTTCAGACTATCGCCACCGATTTTCAGAGGATATACAAGATTCACGACAAGCTTTTCATTGGTCTTTCTGGCCTCGCTACTGATGCCCAGACACTGTAGGAATACTACCACTCCCTCTCAATCTCCCCACTTGCTCTAGTTTCAGCTTCTTTTCTTAATTTCTTACTGCTGCTCCCTTCTACTTGAAGCTATCAACGGCTCGTGTTCCGGCACAAGTTATATCAGCTTCGAGAAGAGAGGGACATGAAGCCTGAGACATTTGCCAGCTTAGTCTCTGCTATTTTATACGAGAAAAGGTATGCAGATTTTATCATATCAGAATTTTATCGGATCAGAATTTTTCTCCTGACCTTACCTAATTACTGCTGTGTACGCTCTGTGTGAACTTGTGAGCTCACAATGATTCGCAATTACAAATTAGGAAGTTCATACTGAAATTCTGTTAAGATGACACGACCATTTCTTTTGGAAAGGCTTTCCTTTGGAACTAGAACACGGCAATTTCTTATTCGTTTTTTGTAAAACGAAAATACGAGGACCCCATCTATAGGCCCAAAATCGAAGAACATTGGTTTGCTGCAATATCATTGGTTTTCTATGCGTATGCCATGTTGTCCCATATCTTTCTTGAATATGACATTGTAAACTTAAAACCGGAGGGGCAAGGTTAACTGAACCAATTGGCTAGATGTAATTGATAAAAGTGCAAGTACTGTACTCCTGTTCATGATATCTGTCCTGCTAGAAAATGGGTTAAGGGAAGGGGGCTCGGTACATTTGACTAGTATCATTTCAACTTGAAGTCAACCAAAATTATCCGGATTGAAATTGAAATCAATCGGATACAGATTACAAGGTTCTGATATTCTGGATCCCCAAACCCATGTCGAGGACAAAAATGACAAGGAAACCGTACCTTGTGATCACCCATGCATAAGTTGGTGAGATATGCTAATAATAGAAGAAACAGAAATAAAGACATGATTGAGAATCATTGTAGTAAGGCAACAAAATGCAAGGTGAGGATTTACATCTAATCTGGAGGCCTCTGAGTTCTGTTTGTGCTATACCTGAACTCCTGGGAAAAAACACTATCTGAAGACTGAAGCCACTGGCTGGAGTGTTCAAATGGTTCTGATAAGTTATTCCCTTATGTAAAGTTAAATTGTGCGAATATATTTTTTCAATTGAGAGGCAGAGGCCTAACAATCTCTATCTCTAGCAGCCTAAAATGGGATAGTTTAAATTTTTTCCCTGCCCATCCATCCTAACTTTGCTCTCTTTTCTCCATAATCCACGGAGGCTGCTTAAGAAAATGAAGTACAAAATCAGAATGAAATTCTTCCCAAAGTTAAAATAGCAGGTTTAGAATAGTCAATTGACTAGAAAAAAAAAATTCAAACACAAAGTTCATTTTATTTGGAAATTTATGTTATATTATATCAATGAAGTTGAGGAATAGGTGTTGATGATTGATAATATTTTGCTGGTGAGTTATGTGTAACTTATTTCCATGTGCTTCTGCTATCATCCGAATCAGTTATAAGGTTGTATGATTTTGCAAATTTATGTAATTTGGAATGTGAATGTTAATGCATCTTTTTCTTTATAGGTTTGGTCCATACTTCTGCCAGCCTGTAATTGCTGGATTAGGAGATGATGACAGACCTTTCATTTGCACAATGGATTCAATTGGAGCAAAGTGAGTTGACTCTTTCTTATATTCTCCACTGATTTTCAAAGGAAATTTTAATTAATTAAAACTTATAATTGCAAGTTATCTCTTCTTATGATCTTAAGTTTGTATTTCTTGACTAAGAATTTTACTATGTTAAAGGTGACTAATGGCAAAAGGTGTTTGAACCATAAAACGCCTTAGGATTTTGGCTATTTTTCAATGATATGAAAGTCATACACTTTCTCATGAGCCATGTGTTTGTGATAATATCATCTTTGTGTTTTTCTTGTATGCAGGGAACTTGCAAAAGATTTTGTTGTTGCAGGCACTGCATCTGAGTCTCTATATGGTGCTTGTGAGTCGATGTTTAAGCCTGACATGGTTGGTTACTAAGTTCGATTTAATTTCTTATGACAATCTTTTTTAAAAAAACTTGGTGCAGTGTGATGTTTACCGTCTACACTTGTCATCACTTGCTACAAAATGAACATCCAATAAGCTTCTTCAAAACAATATTAGCAACAACTACCAAATTTTAATGTGGACAGTTCCTAACATAGGATATGGCTCATTGTTTTTCCCATGTTTTCTTGGGTGCCTCAGGAACCAGAGGAATTATTTGAGACCATCTCCCAAGCACTGCTTTCTTCTGTTGATCGTGACTGTTTAAGTGGCTGGGGCGGACATGTCTATGTTGTGTAAGCTTATGATTCTTTTTTGCCCCTTAGTAGCTGCCCATGTATCTATGTTATGAAAGTACTCACCCTTTTGCTTTTACGCACAAACAGCTTGTTGGATGGTACGCTGCTTTACATATTTTAGGGGCATAAGCTGCCACAGCGGCTTCCACCTTGTGTTATGATTATCTGCGTTCTGTAATGCATATCAGGGTGGAAGTTAGGGCCTCTTTGCTGTATGAATCCACCTTAGTGGATAATAGACCCTTGAAACCAGTGATGGAAATTGCCAAGGGTAAATAAAGAAACTTATTTTTGGAAGAATTATAATTAAAGATTAGCTTGTGATAAAGTTGCCAAGAAATGAGCTTTAATGAATTTACCGCTAGTCACTATACAGGTAGAGAAGGAAGTCAAAGCACTTATGAGTTACTTATTGTAATTTAGCCTCCATTTTATCTTATTTTATTTTGAGGGGGGTGTTTATGCTCAAGTTTTATATTTTCGTTGTTATTCTTTCACCTGGTTTACATATTTTTTATCTTTCTCCCTTGAAACTGGGGCTTCTGTATCCTCATATTTATTTTCTATTCAAGTTTGGTGTTTCTATGCCCATTCATGGTGTATCATATGATTGCTCTTTTTGATTCACACCTGCAGCACGCCAACTGAAGTAAAGGAAAGGATCTTGAAGGGAAGAATGGATTGACCTTTAAGCCCCTCGCTCATTTCCTATCCTCTTTCGACTGCTGAGTTCAGGAGCTGGATGGGAGATATCATTTGCTGGCCCCTGGTGTCATTGAGTACTTTGTTACAGTCGCAGTTAAAAGAATGTTCGAGATCGCTTAATTTGGTCCTGCATGTTGTGAATTAAATTAATTACTCTGTTCGACTTTGTTTGCTAGTCAATACTGGCTTGCAAAGCGCGATAACGATACAACATTGGTTTTTCTCTTGCCCTATAATATAATTGTACTTTATTTTGATCATGATACCCGAACTAATCACCATTTGCTTTTCCATGTGGCAACTAACAGAGCAGTTGGGTTACCTGCTGGGGAACAAATTTTTACTACATGCTTGTAGTTGTGTTTAGTGAATTTTACCTAAAAAATATTTAAACGAGGCTAATGGAATTTGATATAGAAATTAGCTGAAGAGTTTCTATAGAGTGGTTACCGTGTTTCATAAGGATAAGTTGCAGTTTTTTTTTTTTGGGGGGGGGGGGTTGGGGAGGGGGGCGTGGGGAGGTGTATAATAATATTAAGGGGGAAGAGGAAATGACATTTGTTTTTCTTCCTCAATGGCAAAGAATAACATGTTCAGCGATGTCTGAACAATTGTTGCTGAAGATTTTTATTCGTCCTGAAATCACCAAGAATGATCTCAGACGCAGATTTGTTGGCAACGGGATGCACTTGTATGAAGGCTGTACAGTGATACAGCGATACACTGTGGAAACTGGAAAGAAATAGTATGCTTTGCCTCAAGAAATTGGCGAACGGCATTGCCGTGTAGAAACAAATAAAAGCAATATGTAGTCTGTAAACAATGGTTAAGAACGAAGCAGCAACAAACGGCAATTGATGTCTTTAGTTACGTAAAAAGGTATAATGCTACTTACGGAGGATGCGTTGTTATTGCTTGAATTGAAAGCTGCCTCGTCCAGAAAAAATGTTCAAAGTTTGTGGGCGTAGTTGGCAACCTCAAGGTGAGAAACCTTGATATAGCCAAGAATCTGGAATCTCAAGCATCCATGACAAAAGGTTTCCATTACTTGACATGAAAGTTTCTCCAAAAATATGCCTCCGTTCATTCTCTCAAATACCAAAGTCGCTTTGTCTCTGTTCAGCTCAACCCATATCCATCAGTTGTAGCGGAACGCCTCTTGCTCCTTCCAAATGGAACCAGAAGAGGGCAAACAATCTTCCCACAAAACCCCATACACTGAACTCGAGCAAGTTAACTCTGATTTCACCCTGGCAATCGCTTTGCAAGAGCAAGAGGGAACCTTCACAAGGTTTGCCACCATGGACAGTGAAGAAAGCGGCAATGAAGATGAAAGTGAGTCATCTTTTGAAGATGAAGATGATGATGAATATGCTGACTTTTCTGAGAGCCAAGAATTCGAATTAGGAGACCTTCAGTTTCTTGAGGGTGAAGGAAGCAACGACGAAGAGATGGAAGAAGATGAGATAGATCCGGATGAACTATCCTACGAGGAGCTGATTGAATTGGGGGAATTTATAGGAGAGGAGAGGAGAGGATTGTCAGCAAATGAAATCCCTTGCTGCTTGCATCCGTACACTTGCCATTTTGCTGAAAACAAGACTGGAATAGATCGTTGTGTGATATGTCAGGTTGAATATGAGGAAGGCCAAGCACTAATGGCACTTCAATGTGAGCACCCTTATCATTCAGAATGCATAACCAAGTGGCTTCAGATTAAGAAGGTTTGTCCAATTTGTAGCACTGAGGTTCTCCACTTCAAAGCTGACTAAGAACTCTTAATCGCACCCTACAACTAATTTGTAAATGTATATTTCAGAAAATAATTAAGGAGCACTGAAACAATCAGAACATTACATGGCAAATGAGCAGTCGTCGCAGAAATTTAATGTTTAAAAAAACACAAATAATTTAAAATTCTTAATGTTATTAGTATCTCTATTGGTTGACACGATTTCAACCTCATAATTTATATTCTCAGATTAAAGTATATTCGTCAAATAATTACTTCTGCATATTTTCCTCCCTAATTTTTTTTTTTTGGTTGTTTCCTTCCATCAAGATTTTTTTTTTAATTTTCGGGGAATACTTGCTTCCTTTTGAGAATTAATATGTATCTCATTAAGCTATCATGTAGAAGCATCTATTGCATGGTTGGCCACACACTAGTTCCCACCTTCTTTCAGGGCAAAATTCAATGTTCATATACATGAAAAAACATATAGTGTGTATTGTATATTTAAAAAAATCGTATAGGGTGTATAAATATATACAATATCTCACCATTTAGAAATTACCTGTATTTTATATATATATACATATATATAGATATTACCTATATTAAATTCATGTTTGAGAAGTCCATATGGGGAACGTTTTATTTGAGCCCAAAACCCTTTACTTAAGTATGAAAGTGGACACGGTCCAAGAAAGGCCGAGAGAAGGGACAAGAATGACAACCCCACAATTTTACAACACACACACAAACAACCACCAACGACGTGAGTGAGTGGATGAGCTAAGAGAGACATCGAATTTCAAAGGACACGCAAAGTGGCAGGCGCTAACCAATGCCTATAAATAAGCCCAAGGGAGGCGAAAAGGAATACCAAGCATTCATTGTTTACAAAACGCTTGTACATCTCTCATTAAATTGTTGTTAGAGTGTTCGTCGTATGGCTCCAGCCATGAGCCACAGTGAAGGCCCCACATCGATGTTAAAAGAAGGAATATATTGTGTATCTATTCTTATTATTATTGGTATCAGAATTTAAGAAAGAAGATATATTTGGGATGTATTTACAAATCAAATACAGTTGCAGCACACCAAACAAGCAATAGAGTGGGGGATCAGGTGAGGTCAAGTTGCTGGAAGTCTTCTCTCCTGCTTTCCGCCATATCTTAAGTAGCGGAAATTTGATAACAACGTCTACTTCCTATAATTCGCCCAAGTCAGTTTTAATTTAAAGAAAAAAAACGTCATACTATAAACCTGATTAATAATATTAATAATTAATTAAAAACGCGGGGAATGAGTTGAAGCAGTTATGTAGCATATTTTTTCCATGGCACGCAGGGCCGTTATACGTCGGTCAAGTTAAAATCAGCATTTCAATTGCTAGCACCAAGAGTCCAGGATCCAGGAATTAAGAAAGTCATTTTGTTATTTGTTGATAAAATAATTGAAATAATGTAACGAACCTTCAAAGCTTCATTTAATGAACAGCACAGCGCATGTTCGCTTTCATTGAAGCTGCTAAAAAGTTAAAAGGGAACAGTGTGAAAGCAAGTGAGAATTGGAGGCTTTAATGGCGGCTACAAAATCATCCTTTTTAATCTTTTCAGAACATACACCTTCTTTAGTTGTTTTCTAACTCGCAATAAATTGACGGCGAACAAACTCGCGATGTTGGCAGCCCCTTCAAGTTCCCTTTCCTGATTTAGTGGCGTTTTCATCAAAGCTCTGCGGATAAGACAAAAGCATAGACACCAAACCTGTTCGATTCATTTAGACATATAAATTAATGAAATATAATGGATTATAAAAATAAAAATAAAAATAAAATAATTAAAAAAATAGATGAACACATCCATAAAAAAAGCGGTAATTTAATTTAGGAGATTAAAAAGTATAATAATTTTTAATAATATTACAATTCTCACATTTAAAGCATATATTAATGAGTTTTATCATACTTATTATAAAAAAATAATAATTTAATTTTTGTTATTTTAGTTTTTTAATCCATTTTATTTTTGTAACAAACAGGACTAGGACCATGATATCATACACATTGCAATTCAACATTATTGGGAGCAAGTAAAAGAATCTTCTGCTTCAAAACAAGCACATTAACCTGCCTTTAAAAAAAGAAAGAAGAAGAAGAAAAACATTGAGGCCGAGTTTGGTGGGGTTATCAGTGTTGGCGTGCTTGATTACCCCTGAATCATCTTTCAGCATTCTTGCACCATGAACCATCCCAGTTTTGGTTTTAATCATGCTACAATGATGCTCTTTATGCTCTTTTTCTTTTTAACTGTTGATGATACAGTTAAAAGATGTTCCCCACTAACTAAAAAGTTATCTTTGTTGATTGAAAATATAATGGCAGAAAAACGCCTCGTGCCTTATGGTAATTAAGTTGGGCATATTGACACACATTCCTTCCAGTCTTATTTTTAGGATGGAGGGAAAAAAAAAAAATTATCCTATTTATAAGTTATTTTGTTAAATTTTCATTACAATTTTTTCATTTAAATTTCATAGAAAAATACATTATTATATATATATATATATTTAATAAAGATGAAGTTCAGAAATAATTAAATTTATAGATATAGTTAATAAATGTTAAAAAAATTTATTTTAATAAAAACATATTATAAATAAAACCAAAGAAATATATAGAAAGGTGAAAGCATTAATTCCTTCTTGACATTAGGGAATGTGGGATGGTTGAGGAGTTGATGTCCATGTGCGTTGAATTCTTGCGAGGGAGGACTCTATTCTGATCACGACCATCTCTTTTTCTTTTGATGATTTCAATCACCCCCCGCGTGTTACATATTAATTAATCAATTATATATTCAGTTCAGTTAAGGCTGCGTATTGCTTCTGTGGGGCGCGAATAAAACGGCTACTTACATTCTCTTTCATGATATGAGCGGGGGATAAATAATGGAATGGTTCAAACTTTTTGAGTCGCAATTCGCAAACGATTAAGCATTAATTTGTAATTTCAATTTGTTTTGGACTATAGACAATTGTGCCACTGCCAGAGGGAAATGACGAGGCGATGAGAGGATTAAGTGCACGTTTGGTTTTCATTAAACAAAAGTTAATTTATCAAAAATTTATTTAATAAAAATTAGTTGTTATAATAAAATTTATATTTAAATGTAGGTTTTTAAAAGTCAGTTTAAATAAATAAATAAATGTATGCTTTTAAGCTGTAAGTTTTAAAAATAAAAAAAATAGGTTAACTAAAAACATACCCAACCACGTCTGAAATTGATTTTTTAAATAGATTTTTTTATAAAAATTGAAAACCAAGTAACATTGGAAAAATTGGTGAAAAATACCTTATTAAAAGAAAAATTAATTCTAAAGACCAAATACAATTGAAGAATCAAGGCAAATATTTAATTCACTGAATAATTAATACATTCAAGAGGTAATCATTAACCAACAAATGAAAAAGGAAAGCACTTAAGTAAAAGTCAATGTCCATCAAAAGAGAAAAAAATGTTTACGGCTAGACAAAATAAAATTCGTGAATCTGTAATAATAAAAAAATTTAAAAAAATACTTGCAAGCTCCATTTTAAATTTATGAATCAATAAAGGCTCCTTAATAACCCTTTTAAACTTGGATTGGCTAAAAACTTTAGGCTTAAGAATATATGCCTAGCTTTTGGACGAACAGGAGGTAATAGGGAAAGTAAATCTTGTAGAAGAAGGAAGGAAATCTTTATTAAAAATTACCTCTCTGCTCGAAGTTGCTTCTTTCTCATAGCAAATTGTCCTCCACATACATGAATGCATAGTTGCATAGCAGAGTGAAAAGACATGCGAAGAGATGAGTTGAAGTCCTCTGAAAGAAGAGTTATACAATGGTGGTCATGTATGGTTGCATGTGAAGAGATGAAAGGTCAAATCACAACTTACTTCTTACATTGGAAATCGTCTCGCCTAAAATCATCTCTTAGAGGAGGGGAATCACTTGATTAGATTATTTTATAAATATTTTATTCACAATAGTCTTTCAAATGTAATTGGTCCTTAGGTATAATTTTTATTTTAATTAAGTCTTTTTTACCAATTCTTCCAATAACATTTGAATTCAAATTCCATTTTTTTTTTGAAAATCAACTGGCTCCAAAAAATGATTGCAATATTGTGGAGAGAACATTGAGTTTTCATTAAGGGTGATGAGCATCACCTCTGAATCAATTTAGACCGTTCAGATTTAATTATTTTTTTAATTTTTAAAATGAAAATTTTTAAAATTTTAAATAAATATATTTTATTATTAACATATACCATTCACATTTAATTAGATTAGTCTAAATTTAATATTAATTTTTTTAATTTTTATGAATGACGATATAAATTTATTTTAAATTGTTTTGAATCTGATAGTATAAGAAGTTAAAAATTTTGAATCTGAACATTATAGACTCTGATTAAATATAAATGATAAATGTTAATAATAAATATATTTATTTAAAATTTTATTTTAAAAAATAAAAAATAAAAGAATAGTTTAATCATTTTTAATTTAGACGGTTCAGATTCTGTCAGAATGATGAGCACGCATGATGAGGACTGAACGTGCTCCGAATATTGCGAGGCCCTTCACAGGAACCGCAGGGAAGCATGCGTTTGACTTGCATCCGTGGAATTGCACGGAGAGCATTCATCATGAACATGAACGCGCAATTGGGGAGACAGCTGCATGCCATTCCTGAATGAATGGTTGCAATGTGCAGGAGCAAGGAAATCCCAACGAAAAAGGCAAGGACAGGTGGACAAGTAGGCTCAAGTATTTTCGGCTGCAAAATAATTAAAAAGAATAGAATAAAGGCCGACATGAGAATGGCAGTCCCAGTCGGCCGGGTTGTAAATATTCTCCACGATACATGTGGCACCGCTACTTATTTTGGATTTTACACATCCTGTTGAAATTTTAATCTATTACAAACTATACATCTCTTTTTATTATATTTTTTTGATAACATGTAACATTTGACCTATTGAAAATATCCTCATCGATTAGTCTATTATAAATACCTTGGAGTAATAATCAAGATTTCAATTGACTTTTTTTTTCCTAAAGAAATAATAAATAAAGTAAAATTATGGTTGAAAAAAATTATGTCCCAGATCTTAGATTTTGGATCCAGCAAAATTTTAAAAAAATATCTTACATTATATAGAGGGGAGGAAATAATACTATTTTTATCCAACAGATACACTTCATGGTTGGGGGATTTTAAATATCTGCTGATTTAAAAAAAAAAAAATAGCTGGGTTTTCCCCGTTTTTACTGTTAATAATTAACACGCCTCTTTATGTTCCCTCCCTTCTACTGTATAAGCTACCTTTTATAGTCCCTTAATATAAGATAAATTTTGGGAGTTTATTTGATCATAATATAAAACAAAGTTATGACAATTATTTTTTTTAAAATTTTCCCCCTTGTTTATCTCTTAATGTTTGAATTGCTCAGCAACAATTTATCATGGTTTTTAATCGAAAGAAAGACAAAATTGACAGGTTACACTTTTTAACAATTTTACTAACGTAGCGATTATTTTTTAATAATTAATAAGCATCGAATAAATTAAACTTGTCTTGCGAGTATATTAAAGAATGGGAGTGTATTGTTATTTGTTTTTTTAATTGTTGTCAAGAATTTATTTGAGGGGAAAAAGAGGAAATAACATTAAAATCTTAAAACAATAATTTATGACAATTAAACTCTCAAAATTTTTTTTATAAAAAGTTATTTGTGAATATTGATTAAGATGGATTTAAATTTAAGAGTTACAATTGTAAATATAGCTTTCATTTTACACGGTTAAGATATTTATTTTGTAACTGTTTTAAGTGAATATTTATAATTTAATTTTTAAAAAAATCCGATCAAAGATGTGGAAAGTGTAGGGGCGCGCACGATCAATGTGCGAAGTGAAGTGTCAAGTCGACTCGCAAGTAACAACAGCCCAGCACCGAAAGCCGGGCGGCACGCGATATGACCAACCCCCACGGCCAGCTCCCGATTCAACCCAGAGCGCAAGCTGACAAACCCCAGAGGCGGTGCGGTCACGCGCTATTTCATGTACGCCTCCAACTCCAAATCCTAATCCCACCCTTCTCTTCTTCCACTTCTTCAGCAGATTTTAATGCATAATATATCTATATCTTACACTTCAACACACGCCTTCAGCTCTCGAATAAGCGAAGAATCAAGACTTCGTTTTTAACCCCTCACCCCCCATACGGTGCCACAGCTGACTGACTAGCGTGACTCAGCCATCCACCCAATAGGGCAAATACACAAATTTCTTTTTATTTATTTATTATTTGAAATCATAACATCACATAACAATCTTCCACACTATTCCACCACTTTCCTATCTCTCTTTTTTGGCGTAAGCCGTGACCAAATTCCCCCCACCCCCCTTTCAAGTGGGCTATCCACATGCACGTTCCCCTCGCTTCCTTCCTCTCCAAGTTCCACGTGTTCATCTTCTTGTAGGAGAATTATATACAAGTTTTACCCAGCACATTTAATTATTACTAAATCGATTGATACTTTAATAAAAAAATATTTAATTACTATAAAATTTATTGATAATTTAATAAAAGAAAATGATAACACATTGCAATTGTTATTTATTTAGCTATCAATGGAAGTTATAGTACTTAATTGTGTTGTGTGGTCAGTCAAAGTAATTGTTTCCCTCCCTATGCCCCCGCCACATCATTATATATACCCTTCTCCCGCCTCTGTTTTAGGTTTCAACCTTCACTTCAGCCCTCCACATGGCCGCACCTTCGGAGCTTCACTTGCCACCGGGCTTCAGATTCCATCCCACCGATGATGAGCTCGTCATGCACTATCTCTGCCGAAAATGTGCCTCCCAACCTATAGCCATCCCCGTCATTGCTGAAATCGACCTTTACAAGTACGATCCCTGGGACCTTCCCGGTATATTCTTCTTCCCCCTTGGCCCTTTTCCCCGCTTTCTCCAGTCCTCCACACGTGTGTATTCTTTAACTCGTGGTTAAATTTTTGCAGGCAAGGCTCTGTATGGAGAGAAGGAGTGGTACTTCTTCTCGCCCAGGGACCGCAAATATCCCAACGGTTCCAGGCCGAACCGCGCTGCCGGCACGGGGTACTGGAAGGCCACCGGGGCTGACAAACCCATCGGACTTCCGAAACCCGTCGGGATCAAGAAAGCCCTGGTTTTCTACTCGGGGAAAGCGCCCAAAGGGGAGAAAACCAATTGGATTATGCACGAGTATCGTCTGGCCGACGTGGATCGCTCCGCTCGCAAAAACAACACCTTGAGGGTACATTCTGTCACCCCATACGCGCCTTTCGTTTTTTTTTTTTTTTTGTTTAATTTATTATTATTAGCTATAGTTGGGGGCCGCATGGGGGAGGACTTGCCTTGAAATGACTACTTTGGGTTTGGCCGCCTCGAATCATCTATTGGCTGTTGGGAGCCACCCCACCCATGCATCTTAGTCTGAGGATCATGACAAGTCCTCAAGGTCCACCAGTGACGGCAGGTGAAAACGATATGAAATTATGGACGATCCAAACGAACCCTCCCTAGTTTAAACCTACCTCGCCCGCAAACTTTCGGTCCCAAGCATGACAAACTTTTCTCCTTGATAAACAATAATTTCGAGGAAATTCCTGGTGCTCCATTATTACTGACACGATGATTAATCTCGTGGCTGTGATTTTGCAGCTGGATGATTGGGTGCTTTGCCGAATATACAACAAGAAGGGCATTATTGAGAAACAACCGACGGTTGGCAGCCCCAAAACTGAATGGTCTGAAATCGTGGACAACAAGCCGGAAAACGTATCTCTCTGTATTAGAATTCCCCGGCATCATCCTCATGCCGCGGCTGCGACCGATCACTTGAACTTTGACAAGTCGGATTCAGTCCCGAAGCTGCACACGGAGTCGAGCTGCTCCGAGCATGTCGTATCGCCAGAGTTTGCAAGCGAGGTGCAGAGCGAACCCAAGTGGAGTGAGTGGGAAAAACACCTTGAGTTTCCATATAATTACGCGGGCGCCACCATGAACAACGGTTTCGAGTCTCAGGCTCAGTTGATCCTGAGCAATAATCAGATGTGGCCGTTGCAGGACATTTTCATGCCCTTCTGAATGGATAAACGGTGATGAATTGATCGTATCCGGTGGGGAAACGAATTTGCAGGGGCTGCATCGCACGGCAGCACGAGACAGGAGGAGGTCCATGAGTGTGCATGTGCGGTCGAGTAGGTGATTATTTTCGCCAAATTAAGACTAGGATGGATGAGGAAGGTGGAAGTAGATTTGTATGTGGGGAATATTCGGTGCAGCGTTATGAGCCCATCGTTTTTGAAGTCCAAGGGTGCTTGCATGTTGACGTATCTGGAAGGGACTCGGAATCGGAAGGACCAAGCATGCATGTGTATATAGCTTGTTTCTACGTGCGTAAGCTGCTATGTGATGGAGTTTTGAACTTTTCATGTTCCGTATAAATTATAACCATTTAATTAAAGTAACCGTTTCATCTTACTATTATATTAAAATGGTTTAAAGTATTACTTTACGTATGTATAGAAAGAATAATATTCTATATTCGCCTACGTACACACGAGTTTTTAGTAAGCTTTGATTTTATTTTTATTTTTTTGGTCGTCTTCAACAATGTTCACCCGGCCCTTAATTTATTACTTCCATAGTTTTTTTGAATGCATCATGCATAAATTAACCTTTTAAATATACCAACATCCTGGTTGGTCTAAAAAACTATTTTTTTGGACCAGCGTTAAAAAAATATATAACAACATACTGCTTTGAAATCTAGCACATGCCAACGTGAAGCTATCGATCTCATCTTATCTATCTTGATAATACTTCTACGTACAACACAACGTGAGAGAAGATGAGAATTGAATCCAGTGATTCGCGTCCTGAAATTGCTGCTCGTTTCTCTGATTAACTACAACGGATTGACTTCAGAGTCTACATGCATTTGTTTATATTTTTGTTGTCAATTTTTTATTACAATATGCGTGCAACCTTTACAACTAATTAAAACCATATAATACCAAGAGTCCAAGATGCATAAAAATTATAACTCTTATATTTTTAATAAATAACTTACCAAGAATGATGTAGAATAATAGTTTATAATTTCCCTTAACCAAGCTTGCCCATAGTCAAATATCTTATCCATCGAGATAACGACGTCAGGGACTGAGAAAACTTGCATAGATGTTTTTTTTTTTCGTTGGCCAAATGCATAGATGATAGATCATTGATGAGAACGATATCAAATAAATTTAGATGAACACGTAAAAAAGGCCGAATTCTGGATAAAGTACAATATATTCAGCAGTAAAGGTGTAGAAGAAAATACCCCCGCATTGGAATTTTTAAATGACTAATCCTCCAAAATGCGAGCGAACTCATCTCAGGTTAAAAGCCTAACAAAGCATTTCTTTATGCAGCTTGATATTCTTACCATTCCAGTAATGAAGAGTTGCCAGAGTAAACTAAACACCCCTCACTAAGATCGTAAAAGCAATATCACTCCGAAGATTGGAAGCAAGTTAATTAGCAGCCACAACCGGTGCCTCAACGGAGCAAGTTAATTAGCAGCTGCAACCAGTGCAGATCTAGCCCGAGTGAAAGAAGCAATAACCGATCCCAGCTGCAGCTTGTCGTTGCACCCAAAACTCAATCTGTACCTGCATGAACAGACAATTCCATTTTCATTATCATAAGCCAAAAACTCCAACAGCCCCAAAAATAATAAAATTCAACCATTCACTTCAAAACTGCACTCAACCGCTATCCTCAACTGGAGGCAAGGAGGAGGAAAAGGATGCAATTGATATATGTTAAAAAGAAGGGGAGATTCGTGAAGGCTGGCCCATTACAAGCTCAAGGCACTTATTTGTGTTATAAACTACAACAAACGTCCGAAAGATAAATCACCTTAGGCACATCAATAATCAGTGGTCAATATAATTAATCCTGGAAAACGGATGCGAGCGACTAAAGCATCAAAATACTTGTGGTTCGGATATATCAAATATGAGCAACCTTTCTTTCAAATGTTGCCATTTATCTGTCAAGTCAGGGAGAGGGATGATAGAATACAGAAGAGCATGACAGGAATACATACTCTATGTCAGCCAAATCATTCATCAACTGTACTCGAACACTTGGAGGCATCCTAATCTTAAAAACAAACCTGTGATAAAAATACAAAGAAATCAACATCATAAAAGAATTTCCAGTAAGTTAGAAAGTCAGCACGATGCACAAGGCTTACATTGTGACTTCTCTCACAATATCGACCAGAGCCAATCCTTTTCTTGTTTTGATTTCATATATTCCTGTAGGAAGTTATGCAACAAAATATAAATAAATTGCTTAGTAAAAGCATCTGAGCAAAATAACATTAAAAGAAGTAAAATCAGCTTAATACTTTTAAAACTATCCGCAAATTGTTCATTCAGAAGCCAGTGAGATATTTGCTCGATGTCTTTGGGTAATGGGTTTCCAGTACAAAGATAAACAGCTTCTTCTGTTATCTGCTGAGAAGCCATATGCGTTGACTGCAAACATGAAGTAACAAAAAATGTCATCAAGAATCCATTGGAACAAATAATCCAGAACATACCCTTTGATAACATCAATTCCATAGTAGCAACAAGTTGATAGGATTCCTAGACATATGTATGTGACATATTGCATTATTTGCATATATTTTGGGATGATATTCTTGCATTATTGCATTCTTGAAAACTTAATTCTTGCATAATTAGGAATTCCTATGCTTCTAGAATTAAATAGAGTTCATTCATATCCTAGGGGTAGTTTTGTCATTTTGACAATTTTGGGCAATTTTAGAACATTAACTTAATTTGTGTCTTTTATCTTCCTAAGATCAATGAAACAAATTTGAGATTCAAATACATTCTAGGTTATAAAGAGACATTAAAACACACAAGTCATAGAATTTTCCAACATAGGGACATTAATATTAAGTTGTCATGTTTTATAACCTAGATCTTAGAAATAGTATTATATCTTGCAATCGGCTTTGAATTTTGGTTCAAAGAGCTTCTAATTACTATAGGCATTGAGGATTTCCACCAAGAAGCCCTTAATTACCCTTTGATTATCTTTTTAAAAGTATTTAGTGAGTTCTAATCAAGTGTGAAACATCCTACAATAGCTACATGTGCATCCAAATTAACCTAGCTTAAATAGAGGCCACATTCATTCTCGACTCTCCTAACTAAGTTTGTTAAGTAGTTTGAGATATTTTATGACTTTGATCCACTAAAACTCATTCTATTCTACTCATTTTACACCATTACAAGTTGAATATAGGGGTTTGGGGTTGTGCAACACTTGATTCATTTTTTTTTTTACATATTACATTTCACACATATTCTCTCTCATTTTTCTAATATTTACAGCACCACTTCATTCGAATTTTCCATTATTTTCCCTCATTTTCCTAACCACATTCCTTCATCTGAAGCAAGTATTGAAGCCATAGAAGTTATCTTAAGAAGGATTCAAACTTGGATTTCAAGAAGAATTCACCATGAGAAGCTAGAGTCTCAAAGCTTTCCAAGAAGACAAAGCCACATCTTGAGTTCTTCTAAACCTTTTCTTTTACTTTCAATTGCTTTAAATTCTTCTCTTCTCCTTCTTTAATTCTGCAATTGATACTCGTAATGATTAATTCTAGGTCTTAAATTAATCATTATGACTGAAATTCATGTTCCAAAGAAGAAAGGATGTGTATTTGATTCTTGAACTAATTACGCACTCTAAGTGTTTGTATTTATGCCTCAAGATTTTGATGAATGAACACATATTTCTATTTCAATCTCTTGCTGTTTGGACTTGTATTAGCTATTGTTTAAGTTTTAAACTCTATTTAACATTATAACCTTGATTGTTTTAATGTATTAATCATGATCAAGGCAAGAGTTAGAACTAGTTTCAAGAATTGAATCACATATTGGTATATCTATCTTAGGGTGGTCTGTGCATTGAATTCTAAGTGATTGCTAGGTTTTTAATCACTATCACCTTGTCTTGATGGTCATTAAGACACCTTCACACACCAATTGAAGAAGGCAATTAAATCTAAAACTAGGTGACAAAGAACAAGGATGAAAGTGGTGGAATCTAAACTTGGGTAGCTACTTTGATACTTGATTGATTTCTGCACGTTTTCTCTTTATTTGTTTCACATTAAAATCAAATAAAGACATCCAAATTCTCTTTTAAACTCTTCAATTCAATTCTAAAATTTTAATTTGTAATGATCATTGAATTGATTTAATTGTAAAATGCTTGCTCTTTGAGGATAAAATCACCTAGGGTGCTCCTACTACTACACTTTAATTTCTTTGAGAAGTTTGACATGACTAAAAGCTTTTTAGTATGCCTCAAATGTTGTCATGTTGCTGTGTTTTCCAATCCATGTCCCTATCAATGTTGGTGCTTATTCGATCATATTCAGTTTTCCTACGTTTCCTTTATACATTCCAAAGTCCCAATACAGCAAGTTCTCTAGAAGTATGCCTAAATATCAAATATGGAAAAATTGCTGACTAAATCTGAGGTTGAGGATATTCAAGAATTTATAGTGTAGAATGCTGAAATACTCCCAAAATAAAATATCATCAAATATAACAGGTACGGTCACTCCTTAAATGCAACCTGCAAAATGTTCAAAGCCTTTCTCATATCTCCATTACTAAGTCGAACAAGTGCTGCTAAGCCGCTTTCTGTAACATCAAGCCTAGTCAAATTACAAAATAGAATCATCATATTGTAAGTTATTGGGCTTAACTGTTGAATCACAATGTCACAGCAGTCAAGAACAAGATACTAGAGTGACTAGAGAGTAGCAATATTGGACCGAGGAAAATAAAGTCTACTTCAAAAGAAAATTTAAAAAAAAAAAACTACATGACTGAATTATCCGGCTAATAAATCACAGTATTCAACTAAACAATGGTTCAAAATTTAATAATTAAATAATATTTAATTAAGTATTAACTGCAAGAAGTAATAAGAAAAGCATATTAGCAATTTGAACAGAGTATTTCTGCATTTATGTGCAAATGAATGGAAGAATCAATTTATATATATTTTGCAGAGGCTGGCATCCAACACAAAATGATGTTCCTGAAACCCTGAATTTTTTTCTTTCATAAAATCTAAAATATTTCAATCTTAGTGTTATTTTTCACTCAAAAATTTGAACTTCCTCTAAGATGTTGTGTATGTGTGTAATTCTTAAAAGAAGGGCGATTCTTCCTGAAAAAGAGCTCTTTCCGATCAGGTAATTACTTCAATCATGTTTGGACAAGTTATAATCACCCTCTCAAATGAAATAACAATAGCTGCATATGCTATAATAATGCGTGAAATAACAAAGTACTTTTTCCCACACTAGCCCACCCAGTGCCCAGACCCTCCAGGATATTTATTAAAGAAGAAACAGTATATCTGTCAAAAAAAAAAAAAGTTCCTCCAAAGGTACTGGCAACCCAAAAGAGCAGTGCTTTTCCTTTCTTGTGAAAGCTTTAGGACAGTTGTATATGATTATGCCTTGAAAGTGGACCAACTTAACCTAGGCCCGTTACCAATTTATCCAGCCCTAGTTTGTTTTATTGTTATCATATTTATTGTATTAGAGATATTTTTACAGATTCATAGGGATATTAAAATCAGAATATTTATTATTATCTTTCTTAGTTATATCGGCAGATTTGGTGCAATTCTATCAGATCTTCTCCCTTCTATATGTATGCTTCGGTCTTCCGAATAAAGTAAGCTTTTCCACACTGCAAACTCGCAACATGCATATACAATAACAGAGATGATAATACTTACCCTTCAGCATTAATAATATGCTTCAATCTCTCAGTAATATGGACAGTATCAAGAGGGGCAAACCGAAATCTAGTGCATCTTGATTGCAGTGCTGGAATAATCTTGTTTACATGGTTACAGATAAGTGCAAACCTAGTATTTTTTGTATATTTCTCAATAACTGCAACGAAAGATGAAGGGCATTATAACACAAGAAAATGGTTTTAGCTCTGCTAGTGCTATATAGACAACAGTTATACCTCTACGCAGTGCAAATTGTGCATCCTTTGTCATTGCATCAGCCTCATCTAACAAGACCAACTTTACAGAGGACTTGACTCTGTAAAACAAGGACCTCTAGCTCATCAGCTAAGACCAAAACTGGCAATTTCAGTATAGTTTTCATGCCTTGACATGTAGTTTCACAATGAAATGCACAGAAGAAAACACAGGAAAACAATCCATGCCTTCAACAATCAGAAACATCATAACTGAAAAATGATACAAGCAAAAAATGACATTTTTTTAATCATGATTAAGGGTCTAGGCGTTCACACCTGTACACAGGAGAAAAACATTTAAAATATAGCTGCCATAGTTACCAGTTACAAAATTTTCTGGGGAAAATAATAATGCTTTCACAATAAATTATTAAAATTTAGCAGAATAATATATTACACAACACAAGCAAGGATCAAAGAATATCAGATCAAAATTCAACGCCAAATTTGCAATTGTTGGAGGAAGGAATTTCCAGGGCAAGGACACAGACACATAATTTATATGTAACCGTGTAGAACCTCTGGATTGACCCGCATAACTGATTAGAAGCTCACAAATCAGCGCAAGAGCCAGAAAGTACAGAAATACTAGACACAGGGAGACCAATAATTAATCATAAGATTCATCAGCATGCAAATACAACACAAAATAGTCTGTACCATGGCAGCAGATTATACATATTTACAATCTGTATCAGGGAATTTACCACACTACAGAGAAAATACAAGCTATAAAGTAGAATTAAATACTGAAAACAACCCAAATGAGAAGCTCTGGGTGCTAGCAAAATCTTGGATCTGTTGGCGTACGATATCAATTCCCCTGTCATCTGATGCATTGAGCTCCAAAATCATGTTTTGGTATTGTGTTCCATATAGTTTGCGGGCCACAGCGAGAATAGTTGATGTTTTGCCCGTGCCTGGAGGGCCGTACAATAGAAGATGGGGTAATCTGTTCTCAGATGTCAGCCTATCAACTGTTCAACAACAAAAAAATAATAAGCAGCAAACATAGAGTCAGTATTAACAGCAATGAAGTCATGATGAGAACAAGAATCTTACGATAGTCATGGACTCAAAAACCAGACAATGGTAACAGTAGTATATTATCAAACCAGGCAATGGTAATAGCAGTAGTATATAACCAATCCTCTTTCTTTTCCTCCGACCAAAACAGAGACACAAGGGAAAATACCAGAGTAATACAGTCTGCTAGAAAAGATTCAATGCAGAAGTACTCCTATGGAAATTATACAAGTAATATAATACACGCAATTAGGTAATTATGCTCAAGTCCCTTCATCCCTTCCCATGTGGTAACAACCTAAGATATCCAGCCAAAAATTCCAGTGAGTGTCTAAATTTATGTTTCGACATGATAATTACACAATACAAGCGAAACCCTAGTAACAAATAGACGGGACAAATTTTTCTCAGACCAAGAAATGTAATGCCACAATTAAAAAAAATGGGATTGGACCGGTTAAAGAAGTTTTTTTTTTTTTTTTTGCAATTGTTTCGGGCCGGAAACAGAAAAAGACGATAAATTTCACAGTAAGTATCATAAACCCTAGAACTTAGAGGAGAGAGGGAAAGGAAGCGTTGAGTCGTACTGGTATCGACAATGTCGCGATGTGCGGCGACGTCGTCGAGGGACTTGGGGCGGTACTTCTCAACCCACGGAGTATCCCTGCCGTCCGGTGGGTTGCCAGCAACGACCATGCTTTTGCCCTTGTTGGGTATGGCAGAGAAGTTATCATTATTGTCGTCAATGAGCATGGGAGAAGTTGTCTCCGCCATCGATAGAGTGCTGCACTTTGCTTAATCTTCGGCAGGAGGTGGAGTGAGATTCATAGCTACGAAGCGCAAGTTTCTTTTTTTCTTTTTTTTTCCGCCAACGACAATGCTCCAGGCTGATGGCGCCAAATAGCGATTCCAAAACGGGTGCACGGGCTGTTCAGTGCAATTCACGACATTACGGTCCATAATTAACTAATAAATAGGTAGTCCTCCGTTAAAAAATGCGGGGTTGATGAGCATTCTGCTTGAAATTTACACTTTAAAATAAATAAATAAATAATTTGACTTATAAATTTTAAGTAAATTACTCATTATCGTTTATTGGTATAATATTTATTGTTATATACAACTGACATGTCATTGTTAAGAGAAGATTAATATCACTCAACCTTTGAATGGCTCTACAAAGTACAAAGTTAGAAGTAATCGCAGTTTTTATCAATTATTTAAATTAATATTTATAATTTATTTTGTTTTACTTGATATGTTGGACAGTCAAGTAGTTTATCCATTGTTGGACATTGTTGGGCATTCCAACTCCTCACATAGCCTGCTTTCTTCTTATCTTCTTCTTCACCCTTAATATGTGAAGAATGGGATGAGAAGGAGTTCGAATAAGTCGCCACCATAGCCCACCTTCAACCCACCAACACTGTACACCTCATTGGATGTTGTAACTCTAATTATTAAGATCACTCATCGTCTTGTCATCTTTGGAAAAAGACGTATCTCCTTCCATTCTCATCACTCGGAATGGTTGAATCACCTGACGTGACTCCACCTTCGAAACTACCTATTGGCACATCCTCATATTCTCGCCCTTGCGACTTTAATTCATCCAAGCTTCGAAGCTCATAGGTGTGAGCAGCACTCATATGAAAATTTGTCTCTTCGTCGTCACATTCATCAGCAGATTTGAATCAGAGGCCCCATCAACTCTTCCTATAACTCCAGCACCGATCCAGAGTTCAAATCCCACAAGAGAATGCTCTGCCTTTTCTAAATCAACGTCCCATGCACTTGAAGCGAATTGATATTTTTCTTCGTGGCTGTCGGAAATGTTCTTGGGTACGTCGTCGGAATAAGTTTCTTCTTGTTATTTGTGGTCTTTGTATAACCGGTGGGACTTTAAAGCAATTGCAATTATTATGTGCGACCTTGGATAGCCTTTTCCAAAGAATTAAAACAAAATTATCGGGAAATTTTTGTTGTCCATCTTTGTAATTTATGAGATCCTTTTTTTTTTGGTAATTTTTTTGTTAACTGACAATTAAAGTTAATCGTTGTTAAGGCGGGAGCAATATTACACTGTATAAAAAATGTTGAAGAAAAATATTAAAAAAAATGAGTTTAAGATTGGGACACTCTTGGATGCATTGTTTAGGGATAAATTTACCACTCAACCTTTAATAAGAAATACGGACATAGCATGTACCCAAAAAAAAATGTAGAGAGATAGCAATAATAACAACAAATTATATCTTGCGTGATATAGTGTGACTTTCTATTAAAATAATAAAATATAATATAAATGATTATTATGCTTATAATTGATATAATGATTATTACACTTATAACCGATATAATGATATGGCTGTTTAAATACTCAATATTTTTGCAGTAAAAATATTTGTTCATCGTCACTGTTATTCACAGCACATTTTACTTATAGTTTTAATTTAAATCATTCGTTAGTGTACTTGTTATTTTTGAAGTCCACTTATTTTTTTTCAATACTTTACATGTTTCTTGATATTAATTAATAAATTTTATTTATTTTTCATGTTTGATAAATATATTTTGTTATAATATAATTGAAATAATAGTTATCAATTTTTTCTCTATATTAATGCATGTTTATATCTTCTTTAATTTTATAATAATGATATAGTACAACATTTTGCTGACAGTGTCACCTGGCTTAAACTTTTCACGCAGATGTTTTTAACTTTCTGGTCTAAAATTAGTTTAAGGAATTAAATATCATTTTGAGAATAAAATTATGAAGAGAGAAGTTATTAAAATATATACACGAAACGATGCAGATTATTTGATTACTCACACTTTTTAAATTCCAAAATATGAACATTTATTATAGTTTTTTTTAGCAAAAAAATATGCCCTTCTAATGTATAATCATGGGGGAGTGAGAATTGAAGACCTTGTAAAAAAAAATTAATGCAAAAATCACGTGTTTACTTTGACACAACATTTTGGCACGTGAGTTGCCAATGAATATTTCTCCAGATAGCAAGAACGTTGCTGATAATTTTAGTATTGTTAGTTTAAACCTATCTATTGATATGAAGATATTGTTGATGAATGATTTATAAAGCATTCATCAGTCGACTCCTTGCATTATTTTATAAATGCCAATTATCACGTAGTGCGCATGAGGTGCACCTATGAACGTGCGTGTATAAGATTCCGATTCCTTGCTCTTGTATTTTCGCTGCTGTTCTATCCTGATTCCTGACAGTTATAACCCAGGAAATACAGATTTCTTGGCGGAGGAAATATGTGTGCTGTATGAAAAACGAGTTTAATTTAAAGACAAGAGGAAAATTCAGAGACCAGCATACACATACTTCACAAAAACTCAGCGAAGAGCGAATTCTGATGAACTTTTTCAACAGACAAGAATGGAAGCATCCTTTTCAACGAGGGTCGAAGGAGGGTTGACGCGAACGTAACCCTTCTCCTCCTTTTCCTCTATCAAAATATGAACTCGTTTCCATTTGTTTGAAATGTACAGGCCACGAAAACATTCAAATAAGCGTAGGTAATTATTTTGCTTATGACACAAATCGTGCAGAAGTAAGTTTGTACACTTCATAGGAAGTTACAAATTAATTTTCCTTTCAACCTTGCAAGCAAATCCCATCACTTGCATGACATAATTCAGAAGGTTTGGTAAAACAAAATAAGAATCAACCAGCGATAAGAATCAACCTTTCCACTTGGGCAGATGAGCAAAAACTTCCAAAAGTTAATTTATTCACTGTAACGTTACATTTTAGATCCAATTCGACCATACAACATACCGCGTGGGTGCATGCGTACAAGGCAAAACAGTAACAGAGATCCACTTGAGACTACTGTATGAGCCGCTAGCCTGGTAGACAATAGATCGCTATTGGAGCTAGAGCTGGTTGGGTCCGGAATTCGAACGACGCAGCAATGCCAGCAAATGGCGCGATTGCGTGAGACAACCACTTATTTTTCTATTTGTCGATTCCTCTGTTTATGCCAGACAAACGGTGGCATTAGTTTAACAGACTGGCAGATTTCTTTACCGAGTCTGGGCAGAACCTCGCATGCCCCAAGAACCACCAACAGCGACACTCACGTAAAGAAACAAAAGCACCATTACTAGCTTAGTTTAGTACAGCCCCCGCTGTGCCTGAATTCTGACATTTTGCGCCTAAAAAAATTAAAATTTCAACGAAAAAAAGAAATTTTAACTTCAAAAGACACGCTGACCAAATTAAAATTAATCGTGTGTTGGAGGGAGTTGCAGGAGGTGGTGTGGCGGAGGAGCGTTCTCCAAAGCCTGCACTACAATGGCCGGCATGTGACCTGTGCTCTGTTCCCCTCCTTAACGAAAATCTTCTTACTAAGATTTCTCATCTTCTTTTCCATCAATGTCTGCCGCCGGATATAGCCGCTCCCAGAGAGCCTCTTCCACTGTCTCGCCCTTTCGTTCCCGGAAGTCCCCATCCGCGCCGCCGCCGGTCGCAAAATCCTTAGGGAGACCCACTACTCCGTCTTCGATCACTTCGTCTAGGCCTTCACGGAAATTGGCTATCTCTCCAGCCAGTCCAAGCCCGTCAACCCTTGACCGGCCCGAGGTTAGCAAGGCAAAGGAGAATGTCACCGTCACTGTCAGGCTTCGACCCCTCAGGTGCTGTTCACTTGTTTTACTAGCTTGTCACTCGAATTCATGGGTCGGGTGTTATTTATAACACTTTTTTCCCGTCCTGTTTGCATGTTTTCTCAATCCTTTTTTGTGTTAGAGCAGTGCCCGAGAAATTCATAAAGGAGACGAGATAGCGTGGTATGCAGACGGGGATCATATAGTGAGAAACGAGCACAATCCTTCCGTTGCCTATGGATTTGGTTAGTCGTTTACCTCATGGCCTTCCGATAGTAACATATTTAACTTTCAACAACAAATTAAAAAGGTCGATTCTTTACATTTTCATTTGTTCTAATTGAGTGGGGTGCGGGGGTTGACACAACTTTCAAACGTAGCAACTAGCAAACGAGCACAACAATTCGGCTCTATGCCACGCCCTGCCCCGCTTTTTTGTTTCTTTTTTTTTTTTTAACATAAGCGGTTTATATGAATGATGGGACTTCTTGTACTCCACGGCACACATCACTTCCTATGCGAATGGGTCACGAAAATATAGCTGGATTGACTTATACTTCCATGTTTTCATATTATTTGTAATGATATTTTTCATGGCAGATAAGGTGTTTGGGCCTGCAACAACTACTCGGCATGTATATGATGTGGCTGCTCAGCATGTTATCAGCGGTGCCATGGAAGGAATTAATGGTAGTATTTTTTTCTTCTGTTAATTCCAATTTCGTGTATTCAATGTCTTTATTTATATAAGGTAGGAATTAATGGAACCAGGACGTTTACTGAGTGTGTAAGTGAGAATGTAAGGCCTCCAACAATTTGTTCTGTCACCTTATTGGTGATTTCTCTTTGAGTTTTATTTCTCTCATACTTAACTGTTCATGAGTCATGACAATTAAGTTGTTTTCCTGCAATACGTGTTGATGATCATTGGTCAATCTCATTATTGAGAACTATGAGTTTATTTCTTCAGTTCTTATCCAAACATGATCCCTGGTAAGTGGTCTGCTAACAGTTTCTTTTGTTATTTGCAGGCACTGTATTCGCATATGGTGTTACTAGCAGTGGCAAGACACATACCATGCATGTAAGTCTAATTTCCGCCCTTGACATGGCATTGAGCCTAAGCGCACTGTTTAATTTCTAAGGTTAGCTAGCAACTCAAAATTGCAATTCATAGTTCATCTTGCAATCGATCCTATCCATTGACTGTGTCATAAGATAAACCTGTTGAATGCGATACGTTACTTTTTCCCCATTAGTAACAAGCACTAGAGCTGGTTTGATGTAAAATTCATATATCCTTGCTATTTGCTCTCTGCATTATATTTTTATGCTATTTACCATAGGAGAGTGACATACAATATAGCTTATGAAGAAGGAAGAAGTAATTCTTTTTTTTGCCAACAAGAAGCAAGAAGTAACGAGCAACGTATATGTCAAGTGCAGAATTTGCAGAGGCCAACATGAAGTCATGACTTCCAACTTTTTTTCCATTGTATTGCTGTCAAGAAGCATCTGCTTAGATGGTGGCATATTGATAAAAACATCTACTAATCTCTAACTTTGTAATAGTGATGTATCCACTTCTTATCAGATGTAGAAACTGTTGTTTCCTCATTGAATTTCCTTGTAGACTCTATTTCCTTGATTGCAAATTTTGGTGCTTTTTTCTGCTTGTTCTATGTTCTTTTAATTTGAGTAATAAAATCCCGTTCGTGCTAAAAAATGTTTTACATATTATTTCCCAGGGTGAGCAAAAGTCACCTGGAATTATCCCACTTGCAGTGAAGGATGTCTTTAGTATTATACAAGAGGTAAAGGGTTATTTATTTATTTAATTCTTTAAAATCTTGCCCATAATTCCGACTTAGCTATAAAACCCTATGGCTTTGGTGACAAATCTCGTTTGCCAATTTCAGACACCAGGACGAGAATTCCTACTTCGTGTGTCTTATCTTGAGATCTATAATGAGGTCAGCATCATGAAACATTATATTAAATCTTCTGACCTTTGTGAATCTTCTATGAATAAGAAACAAATATATCAGTTTAAATAATGCCTATTTGCATCCTTGTCCATATTTATTTATATCTTAATGGGTATCACTTCTCGTTGTTGTCTTCTCTTGTTTAGGTCATTAATGACTTGCTGGATCCTACTGGGCAGAACCTAAGAATAAGAGAAGATGCTCAGGTCTTTATGTCAATATGGGAAAGTTAAAAAAAAAAATCATTATTCATTTTCTGCTCTTCAAGACAAAAGCAACTTAGCTGTTGTAGGAATCTTTTGTGTTTCTTTTCTTTTAAATAAATGCATTCTGTTATCCCCTTGTTTTGTTTTCTTTGGCATTGTAACATATATACATTTTTTTTTATTTCTCTTTTTTATATCTTGATTAAAGTAGGCTTAACATGCCAATTAATTAATTGATCTTGTACTGAGCATACAAGGTATATAATGTTGACAGGGGACTTATGTTGAAGGAATCAAGGAGGAAGTTGTGCTATCCCCTGCTCATGCCCTTTCCTTGATCGCTACTGGAGAAGGTGCTTTTTTTCTATTCCTTTTGGCTTCATTGTATCATTGGTTTTACTCTAAATTTTTCCTCCAAAATGCTTTACTCGATGCTTCTTCCATGCTTCACTATAACTTTGATGGAAGCATGGCAAATTTTTCCTCTGGGTTCCTACCTCCTGCAGATTTTATGATCGTTTATCTTTATTAGTTAATTGATAATTTTGATGTCTTCTTTCTGAATAATCCAGAGCACAGACATGTGGGTTCTAATAATTTCAATCTGGTCAGTAGTCGAAGCCACACCATATTCACCTTGGTATGCCAATTCTTATCAAGTGAGCTTCATATGCTTGAAATTTGAACAAATGTTGTTGGCCCTCATAAATTGAGAAAATTCAATTTTTGGACTTCTGAACATGCCGTTGACATTTGGATGTTTGCTCAAATAAATTATCTAGCTTAATTATTTCAATTTTTCATGAATTAAATGACATGATAGGTGCATTCTTGAGCTTTTTGTGGCGCCATAACTCTAGTATTTCACGGATTATTTCAGTTCCATCTGTAGATCTACCATGTCAAATATAATTCATTTTGAATGTAATATTTCTGAACTAACATAATTTTTAAATGGCACCCCGTCGTTATTTTAATTTCTTGATTTGGCTTATCTACTTTATTGAGTACATTGTTTCTATCAGACTATTGAAAGCAGTACTCGTGGGGAAAACATAGGGGAAGAAGATGTGACACTGTCCCATTTGGTAAGACTATTCCATAAAACTAGGATTCTCAATATTATACTGTACTGCTTCAGTAGATGTCCCTAATCCCTATTTTGACTAGTTTAAGGCTTTTAATTGAATTCTCACCTCGTTCCTCCTTTCCAGCACTTAATTGATCTTGCAGGATCTGAAAGTTCTAAAGCTGAAACAACTGGGATGCGAAGGAAAGAGGGTTCATATATTAATAAAAGTTTACTTACTCTTGGAACGGTAATATTTATCTTTTTGTCCCTGCTCTCTTCACCATAATTAAATCCCAGCTTTGTAGTTGTAGCCTAACTCTTGCTCCGTTATCTGATACATAGGGTTGCATGTAATTTCAATTGCTAGATGTGAACATTGTGTCCTGTGCTTAGTTACTTATCAATGCGTGACATAATTAAATTTGATTATTTTTTTGCGGCAGCAGTGTTTGGAATAATTGGTTCTTGTGTTTCGTATTCTACTTTCTTTGACAATCCTCAATTAACATTTGAACATAACTTACATTTAGCCTCAATACATTATTGATGGGGTTCGAGTCCCCATGCCTAACAGCCTTGGGGACTGTGGAGTGCATATTATTGAGCACACTGACAGGAGAATATTAAATAAATGTGCTTGGTTGAATTTCCTTTCTGTTGTGCGATGTCTGAATGTAGTTTGCGCTGCATTTTTGAAGCAGTTTATTGGATGTGCTGATGTTTCTAATTCTTACGGTTTCTAATAGTCCCATTCACAAGTTATATGTCCAGTGAAGTAAACAAAATCTCTTCCTGATCTTTTGTATTTCTGTTTTGCAGGTTATTTCTAAATTAACAGATGGAAAGGCAACTCATATTCCATATCGAGATTCAAAACTCACTCGTTTATTGCAGTCATCCCTCAGTGGTCATGGACAGATTTCTGTTAGTTCAATATCATTCTTTTTAATTTTTTTTCCCCATAAGCAACTTTTTTAATATTCTGCTAGCTATTTATTTATTTTTGTAAATAGTTGAGGTTAGCTAATGCTTGAAATGACCTGCTATTCCTTGGTTGTTGAAGCTCATCTGCACTGTTACGCCTGCCTCTAGCAGTAGTGAAGAGACACACAACACGTTGAAGTTTGCATCTCGAAGTAAGCATGTTGAAATCAAGGCTTCTCAAAACAAGGTGATATCATGTGACTGTTAATAAAAAGGATATTCTCTACCACTGACTTCATGCTGTTAACTTCTATTGATTTTCTTGCCTTAGATTATGGATGAGAAGTCTCTGATAAAAAAATATCAGAGGGAAATACATGATTTAAAGCAGGAGCTTCAGCAGTTGAAGCGTGGTATATTGCAGAATCCCAATGCTGCTGTATCTTCACAAGAAGATCTGGTTAATTTGAAGCTTCAGGTTTGTCCTGTTGCATGTATCATGAGATGTCTGAGAAGAGACTGTCACTTATGCTTTGTTTGGATGAGAAGAGAAAATGGGAGGAGGGAACGTGGAGGGAAGAAGAAAGTGGAGATAAAATGTCTTCACTCCTCATGTTTGAATGAACCAGAGAAAATATAAAGGAGGAAAAAGAGATCAATTGTATAATGGTAGTAATATCCATATGAAAAAGGTGTGGGCTTATGCCTGTTTTTCTCTTTGTTAGGGCAATTTTGAAAAGCATGTTCTCTCTCCAAAATCTCTATACTTTTGAAGAGAACTTTTGGGGACAACATGCCCAGGCCTTGTGTCTTTTTTCGTCTCCACTTTTCTTCCCTCATTTTCTCCTGTTTTGAAATCTACTTTTTCCTCCTGTTTTCTCTTCTCCCTACTTTTCTCTGCATCCAAACATAAGGTTAGTGGCAACTTTATAATATGGCAGAAGCCTAGAACAATATGTCATGTCTTGATTTCCAACCCACTGGGAACGCGGTATTTGGTTTACTCAGTGTGCATTTTATTTGATTGGCGTATTGCTTGGCGTATTGCTTACTTCACTTACCATTAATGAAATCTTACATGCATCATGATGTAAAGCTGGAAGCTGGCCAGTCCAAATTGCAGTCAAGATTGGAAGAGGAGGAACAGGCTAAAGCAGCTTTGATGGGAAGAATTCAGCGACTGACCAAACTAATATTGGTTTCTACAAAGACTGCAATGCCTTCAAACATTCCTGAAAGGCTTGGCCATAGGCGTAGGCATTCTTTTGGGGAAGATGAGGTATGTTTTAGCATGTTGCTTCATTTGGTGATGCTGTCAGTTATCTGCATTGTGCTAGATGATCTGATACAGTTAAAATGATCTGTTGTTTTGCAATATGAATTCAGTTGCTTGGAATTAAAAGTAATAAAGTCAACTATTTGTTCTTGTGATTACAGTTAGCATATCTTCCAGATAGAAAACGTGATAATTTGATTGATGATGACCCTGGAAGCCATGCTTCCGAGCCTTCAGTTGAAGGAAAGGATGATGTTAACTTAGATGAGTTGATGAAGGATTATAAAAGGAACAAAAGACGGGGAATGCTTGGTTGGTTCAAGTTGAGAGTAAGTTATTTTTCTGTTCATTTGAAAGTAGAAATTTTATGACTTATCATGTTAAGAATTAACGCCAAACATTATAGTTATTATTTAAATCAGTTAAAAAAATTGCATTTGATTAATCATCATGGACCACTGTATTTAAAACATGGATACCGAGAATTTCTGTCAAGCTGTGACTGTGGGGCTGGAATTCATGATTAAATTATATGCCCAAAGACGATAGCTTTATGGATTATAATATATTGGATTTCTCTTAAAACTTATGACAACGCTTGATTAACCTAATAGTGTAAGCACGATTTGAGTCTGAAAGCAAGACTTGATAATCCTACTTAGACTATGATATCTTACTTCAATTGAAGTGTTGAACAAGGCAGGTGTTCTTAAGTGGGTGTTCCATACTCCTTAATTAATTGGTGATGATATTTTCTTCTCTCTTCGCACTTCCATTATAAGAATTTCTTTAATGCGATCATTCAATTGCAGGTTTTTAGGTTTCAAATTTATAGTTGTTGCTGACTTGGCAAGGGTTCACTATAAATCATATATCCTTGACCACTTTACTGGCTTTGTTGTGCGAATTTTTTTCATTGGTATCACTTCTGTCTTTCAAGTTGTAGAACTAATGCAACAAATTTATTGAATATATGATATTGTTAGGTGTCCCTAACATCTAATAGAAAAGACCTAATAAGTTCCTCCGCGGTGTCATTAATGATTAACCTTTTTTATTAGTTAATCTCATCTTAAGATTAAGTCTCTGATTGAACAATAACAATTATTTTGTATTGTGATATCTGTATTTTCTGTGAGGACAAAATTAAAGTGATCTGGCCAACTAATAGTATATACCTCCTTTGCAGAAACCTGATCAGGGGGGGTTATCACCAAATTTTGATAGTGAGAGCCCCACAAATGTGTCCCCTGCATCATCTTTAAAACAATTGCCAAATAGAGTTTTGCTTCATGACATGAAAGACTCACGCAGGAATTCAATCAGCACAAGGGACAATGCTTTAGCTTTTAATTCCTTTCCTTTTAGAAATCAAGCCGGAGACTTGTTTAGTGAAACTATCAGAGGTCGTCAAATTCCTTGGGTAAGGTCTCTAAATACTAGTGAAAAAATAAACAGGACAGATGTTTATACATCTTATAAAATGGATTAATCTGATATAAATGTGCTGAATGACTATTTCGCAGACTGGGAGCACAATGACTGATCAAATGGATCTCCTTCGCGAACAAGTAAAAATGTTGGCTGGAGAGGTGGCACTATGTACCAGTTCTCTGAAACGACTTTCTGAACAAGCTGTTGGCGGTCCTGAAGATTCACAGCTGCGAGTGAGCTACTCTTTAGGATAGTCAAATGAGAACTTGAAAACTGTTTTTATTATCAAAATTAATATGGCTGTTCTGGTGACGATGGCAGGAGCACATGCAGAAGTTGAAGGATGAAATTAGCCAAAAGAAAGACCAAATCCGTATTCTGGAGCAGCGTATGCTAGAACCACTTCGGATGACAGCATTTGCACCGAATAACAGTGACATGTCTGAGGCAAGGATAATATTCATTTCCTGAAGTAATGTATGATCCATGTTATTGTGTGTATTATGGTGAACAGAAACAGAAAATTGTTGTCTAAACCTGTGCAAAAAAATTCGCAGAATACAGAAAATTTGTTTCCAGGACAAAAAAAAAAAAAAAGAAAGACAGACAAATGACGTGACCAAATGATACTGTTTTCTGATTTTCAGCATCTCATGCTCTGTTGAAAGCCCTTGACATGCTTGATGCATTTTATGTGGCCGCTTAAGAGCACTAAAATTCGTTATAAAAAGGGAAGGAAAACATTCGGGACATGGCAGTAATAGGGGGATAGAGATTTCAGTAGCTTTTTTATTATTTTAATATTTTTAGGTCTAACAAGATTGTTTATGACAGTTCAGGCTTGGTGTATTGAATTGCGTAAATTGATAAGTCAGGTACTCTTTAATGTAGGCTCTGGCCAAGGTTACCTCTGAGCTCAATGAAAAAATTTTCGAACTTGAGGTTGGTTTTTCTATCTTCTTGGTACAAGTGTTATGGTTTTTTTTTTTTTTTTAATTAACAAGCAGAAAATATTACGAGTATCATACTGAGGTATTCTCTCTTGCTGATCGAGTAATCAAGATCAAGTCAGCAGACAATAGGATACTTCAAGAGCAACTGCAGTCTATGGTACATCACACAACTGTATATTCTTGTTTGGGGACTTTCAATTTCTGATTCATTTCCTCAATTTTCCACAGAATTTGGAAAGTGCTGATATGCAAGATACTATTCTTATGCTAAGGCAACAGCTAGATCTATTGAAGAATAAAACCTCAGATAATTATCAACCATTGGCCGAAAGTGAGACTGAGCCACATAACATGTGTTTTGAAGTGATGTCGGAAGAGACTCATGAACCTTCTAGCGTCGCAAACTCAAATATTCAGGAGCACTCCACGCAGGGCAGCAGTAATTCCATTTATAGTTCTCAGATTCTTATGCAGGTCTCTCTCTCTCTCTCTCTCTCACACACACACACTTTTTTGGGCATTGCTGCAGAACTTTTTTGTGAAATGAAATTACCTCCATCATTAGAGATAAATATGAAAACACATCGCTTGGTTTCTGTAGGAAGTGGTTTTTCTTTTAATCTTTTCACTATGGCACTGTGTAGGCAGCTGAAATAGAGAATTTGAGGCAAGAGAAGGTGAGATTGGCTGAAGAAAAAGATGGGCTTGAAATTCAGAGTCACACACTTGCACAAGAAGCTTCATATGCAAAAGAGTTGGCAGCTGCTGCAGCTGTTGAACTCCGAAACCTGGCTGAAGAAGTAACCAAGCTTTCCTGTGAGAATGCAGAACTGAGTGGTGATCTGGCAGCTGCAAAAGTGGCTTGTTGCAAATCTAATTGTTGTCAGAGATCTGCTTCATATGATGACAAACAAAGTAACAATAATACTCAGCAACAAGATGGTCAATCCAGAAAGCTAGGGAATGATGTTCTAATCGAGAAGTTGCAGAAGGACCTTAAAGCTGGATTCCAAAGAGAAGCTGCGTTGGAAGCTGCTCTATCCGCAAAAGATCAAATAGAAGCGGAACTAAGAAGAAGGCTTGATGAAACAAAACACCATGAACAAGATTTGGAAAATGAGCTGGCTAGTATGCGAGTGCTGGTTGCAAAGATGAGAAAGTTTGGCGTTAATAGTGAGGACAAGTCAACAGTCTATAAGCCCAATGATGTACAAAACAGGGTTAAAAATGGACTTCGTCCAACTAACGGCAACGCTAACAGAAAAATATATAAAGAGGATGAAATATTCGAAACAACGGAAGAGATGATTGCATTAGAAGAACTCAAGGCTAGTTATCAAAGAGAAAGAAGAAGATGCAAAGAACTAGAGAGTGTTATTTCCAGATTGAAGGTATCTCATTCCCGAATTATGTTATGCCTCATCTACTATGCCATGAATTGATAATTTTACTTAATAGTCGGTCTGCATGAACTAAATGTTTGATAACACTACCCATCACTGAGAGAATACAAGTTTAGGTTACAGGTTTGAAGAAGAGCATGAATTGAGAGAGACATAAGCCCGAGCATATTTATTTCCGCCAGGGAACTTGAATTTGATTCCAACTAGTTATTACTCAGTTTGGATTGAATTGTATAGAAAATTAGTTCATTCACATTCTTTGACTAGCAAGACTACACATAGAAGTTAGCTGGTCTTCTTGGCATAGAAATTATGAGCCATGGATTACATGTTGGTTTTCTTGTTATCATGATTCCTCAATCCTCCCCTGCGTGGAATATTCTATATTTGAATGCTTTGGAGAATGTGTTTTTTGGTGCCTGATAATTATAGTTGGCAAAAGTGCTTATGTCAAGTTGATGGTCATAAGCTACGACTTGTTAAGTATTCTCTGGTACATGAAGAGAGAGAATGTACAAATGATGTCTCTTTTGACAACGTGATAGGGTGAGGACGTTGCCGGACTGGACGTTGTGGCCCTTGAAGAACTTCAAAACATTCATATTGAGTCAATAACAAAGATTTGCCAAGCCAAGGTAATATTTCTTGCTTGCCAAACTTTCATATTAAGATTTAATATCTTTCACTCACTCTGTGTATCTTGCAACCTCATAACGTCCTAGCCCTTAGGAACAACTTGCTTTACTCCCATGCATCAATCCATTTGTCTTTTTTTTTTCCCGCATGACTAAACATGGAAACTGATTAACATTTTTCAATAGATGACAATCCCCGTCCATCAGTTTGAGCAATTTTAGAAAAGTTGCGCTATGTTTCTGTTTCACCGACCATTAAATTTTGAACAATACCAAGTTTTCGTTTCTTCTGCTCAACATTGCAATCTCTTGTGACTAAAGTACCTGACTGACAAAGATCATTTGACAATTTGCAGTATGCAAATCAGGACTTGTAGAATGTTGTGGCTACTGTGAGTATATGTATACCATACACACAAGTACTTCAAAGATTATGTACCTAGTTTTACGATGCTTAAACTCAATTATCATGTGCTACATGCAGGTACAGTATACTTTGTAACTCCTACTGATAAGTATCAATCAATCACCTTCTGGCTGGTATATGGAAAGCTACAACGAAGGCGGATCCTCTAGCTTAATCCTCGAATAACTCTGCTGATGGCATTTTGGGACTCTACACCAAGTGTTCTCCACCAGGCATTACTATTATTCGTGTGTTGGGTGCTCCAGCTTACAAATCATGTATAGTTGCGTATGAAGCACAAGCATTCTAGGAAGGTTGACCAAAACTGAACCTATGTCTGTAATACGCTGTACCGTGGACATGGAGTTAACATATGCAGTCCAATGTTGAACGCATCAGTTATCTGTGATATTGGTAGTTTGCAGGTCAACTATCAGCTAAAACATCGAAATTGGCTGCGTAAGGCAGTGAAAAAACGTCATCAAAGTCACGATCCACACTGTTAAAGAACAAGGGAAAAAAATCCCCTAGTGAGAAAGCCCTATGAGAAATTAATCATAGTAAAAGATATATAGATTGGTTTATTACTTGGGAAGCCTATCACAATTGGAAGAAACCCATCCGATCTGCTGTTTCTCGTTGTCATAGATCACTATTTTATCTTGTAAAGAGATGTCTGCCAGGAGCAACGAGAATAACTATCAATCAAGCAAAGAAAAAAGTATGGTAAATCAAAGCATGATTTCTTACAAACATAGGCATAGCTTGATCGTACCTCCAATTATGTTGAGATCTTCCAGTCCTACTTCATCGCCGTTTAGGATTCCAATGCAGACATTGCCATGTTTCTGGGTGAGACATTATGTTAGAAATATGATTTCGTTTGATCCCTTGTTGCTATGCGAGGAAGAGAATGATCCCGTGTAGAAAGGTGCTCACCGTAACAATTAAATAAGCTTCTGGAGGTAATTGCAGCAGCACGTTTTTCCTTTTCGCGAAGCTCAATGCAAAAGGCTTAAAATAGCTCTTGACATCACGTAATGATTTGAAAGGTTTTGCACCCTTCCAGCAAATTGGAAGGGACGGGTCTTCAGTTGCTCTTGTCAGTTGTGTTCCCTTCAAGTCGTTAGTCACCTGAATTATAAATAAAGGATTACTAACTGACTGATATTTTAAAGTAAAAAACACAGACGCTGATTGATTATCATTATAAAACGGGGTTCCTTCATTTACATCTCACCAGATCAACAATGGCCTGATAAGCTTTGGAATTGAAGTATGTGTAGGAGCTCCCACTGTCAAATATAACTTCAAGACCCTTGGCATTAGAAGGCTTTCCATTGAAAAACAGTTCAGCTGGTCCAGAGCTGTAGCGCATTCTGAAGCAACGATCGTGCAAATATTTGTGGGGCCAAAAAAAAAAAATCAAATCAAATCATGCAAGAAAAACACAAGACGGTTTGGGAAAACATACTCCGAGTCCGAGGAACTAGAAAGCATAGGGGTCCAAATAACTCCAGATGAAGGGACGAGATCATCTCCAAAGAATAAATAGCCTCCTCCTTGCCCACTTAAGCAGTGTCCCACTACATTGCGGGTGAGACCCAGAGAATGAAGCTGTGACAAGATGCTTGCTTTGCCACTTCCAAGGCCAAGAACTCCCGCCGTAGAAGGTGGAGAGGTTGGGCCAGAGAATTTCTGATCATACCCACAACTAGCATCCAAAAGATAAATGCACTATAAATTAGTTTGGAAAATCTTAATACTGTTAAATTAAAAAAATTACACTACCATTCGAGCGCGCAAGCACCGTCAAGGATGGAGTTAGAAGACTCACCCAAAGACGACTCGGGGAAGTATGACAGAGCCATTGGTTAATTGGAGAGGGATGAAGTCTCGGACAAGCACACCAGTAGATACTCCATTGTCCGCATACTCGACCTCGTAGTCACATTGCTCATCTGGAGCAGAACATTGAGAGCTTGTGGGCAAGTGAATTCGAGAGCACAACTGGTCCGAACATTGCACAACGTTGTTGTTGGGTTTGTAGAGTTGATCACGGGGCTGCAAACAGAATAGCCGAGGTCGAGGGAAGGAAAAATGACCGGTTACTGCTGGCTACTAATATTTCAGCAGTGTCTTTTTTTTTTTAAAAAAAAAAAAAAGGCTCACCTTAGTGCAACCTTGACATGGCGCATCACACTGTACCCAAGTCAGGTCACTGCCGGAGTCAATATCAAGGTCGAAGATCTTGGAAGGATAGCCAATGTTAAGGGAGACAGTGTAGTGCCTGCATAGATAAACAAACTAATAATATTTTCAGCGAATTGTACGATATTAATTGGACAATAAGATTAGTAATACACATTTAGAGAAACATCGCCTATGTTGCGATTACTTCAAAACCACTAAGAATCATAGACAAAAAGAAATTTAGTGCGAAATTACGCCAGAGATGGGTCTACTTTTTTATTGATAGGAATAGGAAGGAGAAGCGAATCTAAACCGGGAAGCCGTTAAGTAAAAATACTTTTTTGTTCATCTTTCTGTGTAGTACAAAATCAGAAATTGAAAGGTAGAAACCGTAAGACAAAATTCGACTCAAACGAAGACGACTCTGAAGGTATTCATGCAACTAGAAAAGGAGAAAATATCAAAAGAACTTGTAAGAATAAATGACTGTGCTGCGAATTCAACAATCTAAAATCTCCAGACTAGGCGGCACGCGAGCCGAAGTGGAGCGACGCAGAATCAGTAGCTCAATCAGAAACCTATTTTATAGAAGTCAAATGGGTGAAGAATGATTCAAAAGATTAGCAAAGCTCACGACAGAACCTAATTTCAGAAAATATAAACCTATTAAAAAACCTAAAATCAGAGAGAACGTCACCGAGATGATACGACATAAAGGAAAATAAGTTTTACCGTAACATACATACCCAAGAGGATATACATTCCCCTGAACCTGGAAAACAGCTGAGGAGCCAAGGCGATTATCAGAAGTTGGGTGCGTCAGCTTTCTAGAGTTATGGGGTTGATTGGCCGCGGAGAAACAGAGAGGGAAAATAGGAGACTGGCCCAGAAGAAATAAGACCGTGCATGCGATTCCGTTGCTTTTGACACCCATGATGCTAAAAGGGATTGATTGCTCTGAATCAGGAGAGAAAGGTGGGAGTGAAACGAAAAGATTTTGATCAAAAGGGAAAAGAAGAGATTGAAAAGGGGAGAAAATTTGACGACTGAAGTGAAGAAGAGCCCGATGGTGTAGAGTTAGGTGGCTCTGGTTGTGCTCGAGCGGTGCAGTCAAAGTGTCATAAAGACGAGGAACGACCACGTTTGGGACACTGTTTAGAGTTTGTGCTCCGTGATTAACAGCAACTAAGGGGGGACAACCTACTAAAAATAGGAAATTTCTCTTTTAACTTTTATTTTCTCCCCATTTTTTTCTTGCTTTTCCCCTTCTAAACCAAGTCTAGGGTTGTACTTTTGATGTTTATTTAGATTACGGGATTTTTTATTGAAAAATTTGATTAAAATAAATCAAACCAATTATCACATACCTAAAAATTTAATTATCGAGCAACCAAGGTTAAACTTTGTAATTAGTGTAATAAATTTGCTATGTTTATGTATTATTGGATCATTATAAACATTTAATTGATACAATTGGTTTTCGTTTATTTTATGAGACTGACGCACTAGTAATAAAACGAAAGCTCATGCCGTTTATGTCGGTCTGGTTTTTTCCCCCTCCTCGTCCTGCATTGATTATTTTTATTTGATCCACATCTTTCTAAATGTAAAGCTGAGAGCAGCTCTGCCAGGTGTACAATGAGCGGCCGCGGGTGATCATACATAACAGAGAAATAGAAGCCAATAGGATGACAATTAGGCCTATTTGGCATTAACGAACTTAGAAAAATAAACTAGTGGAGACATAATTTATATTTAAAATAAATACTAATATTTTTTATAAAATTAATTTTAAATATTTCTTAATTTGTATTAAGAATATAACATAATAAAATTAAATATTAAAAAGAATGCATAAAATATAAAATTATAATAAAATGAAAAAAAATTAATGGGATAAATTTTTTAGTCTTTTAGATTATAAATTTTTATGAGATAAGTGAATTTTTGTAAGGGGGTAATGAATTGTTTTTTGAGATGACAAGGCCAAATGAAATTTTTTAATGGGAACATACAAAAGTTTTAGGTTTTGTTATGCAATATTTTTACCCCCACGAGCTTTAACATGAGTTTGTTTCTACTATTTGGCACAAAGAATTAGAGAGGAAGGACAAGATTGAGATTGTGAGTATCAATTTTTTATGTTTGATATGAAATAATGAAAAATTAAATCAAAATCCCAATCCCACATATATGGAATTGCTCAAGATCATTGCCAAATCAACATTGGGATTGATTTTCTTAGACCAAATTGCACCCCATACCTTCCTTGTCGTCTCTCTCCCCTTGCCCCTTGCCCCATCCCTCACTGTTCTCCTACTCAGTCGAGTCTATCAAGTTGTCCCTTTCCATTTCCTCCTCCCTTGTGTCGATGCAAGTGCCATCCTCTACCATTGACAAGTTTGAGTTTGAGTTTGAGTTGTTCTCCTTCTATCTTCCTCCATTCTCCCTCCTTCTGCCTCCCACTTTTTGAGTTCAAATATGATCGCCTCCACAGTTGCTAGTTTCTCCCTCCATCTCCCTCACAGTTGCTCACCAATGAACCTACTCACTTCTTTTTGTGTCCACTCACCTTCTTGCCTTTGAATCTGCTCGTCTACTATCATTGCATCTAGGTTTAAGCTTGCCAATTGTTTTAATGGGTTTAATGAGTTTCATAGCTAGTTCCATGAGTTCAACGACATTTCAAATTTGTTTGGATTCAAGATTACGTTTGAGATATGATTATAAAATAAAATAAATACAAGTATTCTATTCAAATATTATTTTAAAACCTCGATCTCAATTTCAACTTCAATTCTAATCTTATTTCTAATTTAATCTCAATTTTAATTCATTGAAATTCATACGTTATACTAAATAGGATCTTAGAATAGTTCAGTTCATACTTCACAACTTCACACCATCACTCTTTTCTTTGCCGATGAATGTTTGACACAACATCCATTCACAAGTTGGCCAAAAAAAGACAAAATAAAACCTGCATTCACAGCCTTCCCAAAGCCATTACCATCAAATAGTTTTATGGAAAAAAGAAATTGTCATACTCAAACCACCCGCCATTGTTCACCCACAAGATAAAACCGCAGCCACATCAACGAACTCAACAGGCAGATCACGATTCACGAAGATATAACCATGTTCATTTTCCATTAAAAATCAATGCTTTTAATTCAGTGCCTAAAATAACAAAATAGTTAATTGGTTACAAAAATTTGGCAAGTGGCTGCAACAAAATTAGTGCCCTTCTTTGGCCCAAAAAAAAAAAAACTAATGTCCTTGAATAATAAAATGTGCTAATAAATTGTCCAGATTTCTTACTTGGATTTCAAAAGTGCTTGCCATTCAAGCGAGGATTGTTTTCCATCTTTGGATATATCTTCACTTTCAGGACCATATCGAAGAAGGTTTAAAACAGGGGACAAACAAACATGGAGCTCGCGGCATTAGATTTTCGAGGCGGTCACCCTCAAAAGCCTTGTTATTATAGGCATCATATTGCAAATAATGGTTTTCCAGGTTCTCTATCGATAAATGCAAGCCAAATTAGTAAAATCCAAAGCAATTCAAGGCAAAAAGGAATGATTCTACACCGCCCTCCCCTTCTCGTTCCAAAAAAAAAAAAAAGAAGCGACGGTGGCTTAAGAACGCCGCCACAAATTGTAGTGAGACCTCGAAGCAGCACGCCGATCATGTTCTCTAATTCGCGTGGGATGCCAAGACCCCCACCAGTTGAGAAAAAGCTCAAATGTACTTCTCCTCCTATTTATATGGGGGAGAAAGAAAAAAAAAATTTAAACTTATTTATAAAAGCATTTGTTAATTTTTAATATTTTTTTATATTTTTGCCCTTATTAAATATTTTGAATAAAAATATGAATAATGAGATTTAAAAATATTTACTAAAAATAAAAGTAAAAATTTTTTAAATTTTAAAATAAAATTAATGAGATTTAAGAGAATACTCTAAAGAGTCTATGTCATGAATGCAATAAAAAAATCGAGATGATGAGAGATGTCCTAACAAATATCAAATGCAATTCCATCAATGCCAAGCTTTCAAAGAGTCATAGCATGTTAGATCTTATTTAATTTCTATTCTCATTTTTTATTTTTAAAAACTATTTTATAATATAATTTCTAAAATTGTTTTTCAAAACAAAATAAGTTAAAAATCTTTTTCACTATATCAACTAAAAAATAATTTTAGAATAAAAACATGAACTGATAATAATAATTATAAATAGTTATTAGTGATGATTAATAATATAAATTAGTCAAGATAACTGTAATTTTTAACAATTAAATGTAATATATTTTAAAAACCAGAAAAATAAAATAAAAATAACTTGAAGTTGTTTTTATTTTTTTGTTTTTTAAAAAATATAATAATTTTGAAAATAATTAAAGAAAAAACATTTATGCAAATAATTTTTCAAATTCTTTTATTTTTAAAAATAAAAAAAGCTTTTAAAAATAGAAAACAAACAGCCCCTGAAACATTTTTTAGACACTAAAGATTTTACGTGTTGTCTTGTTCTAAAATAGGGGAATAGTCCGAGAGGAGGAAATGTTGACAATAAATGCCAAGCCTGGACCTGGATGGAAGAAAGGAACAAGGATAACATTTGAAGGAAATGGAAAAGACAATTTTAATGATCTCTGGTACAAGACAGATTTTTTGGAAGGGATGTTGATGATTTGGCGTTGTGTTTGGAGATTCCTCTTCTCAAGGCTCTTCACTGGCTGCACATTTCCAGTCCTCCCTACTGGTTGAGGAAAATATGAGTTCAACGGTGGGCGATATTGTATACCCTCGCTACCAGACCATTATCACTTGCCAGCTCATGCCATTCTAAGAACCAAGGAAGAGAGAAAACACGAGGGTTACATTTTTCTAGTGGCTTTTCCTGAACAGCTTACAGATGATCAAAGATCTCAAATCCTGAGCATCTTGAAGGATTCTTGTTGAACAACAGCTCTCAGAACCCCCCGGGGGGCCCTTTTTTCTTTTTTTTAAGATCCGGAGTACTTTCCTCACCCTTTTGATGAGCTTTGTACAAATTGTAGCAATTAAAACTTTATGGTGCTAAATGCTAATCTTACCAGAATAATATTTCGCAAGACAGAAAAACCAGAAGGCATCTTAATTTCACAGATAAATGCGCACGCACGCGCGCCCACACAATGAATAAAGTTCAATGTAAGCTCAATGTACTCTCAAACAAAGACTTAAAGCTAAACTGCACAACAAATTACGAGCCAGAATGAAGGGTTTATCACTGCCAGCCAAGTTTCAAGGCAATTTAAACCTAAGACCATCCAAAAATGGCACGGATTATACCGAGTATACTACCGCCAATCAAAGCCTTGAGCAATCTGAGCTTCGTGTTTGTGTACGGAGGGTACCTCACTGATGCATCTCCCATGAAACCGCGATACAAAACCGCTTTTTTGTGGCTAAAGGCTTCAAACGAGAATTTCCCATGGTATGAACCCATTCCACTCTCCCCAACTCCCCCAAATGGCAGAGTACAGGTGGCGAGCTGTATCAAGGCAAAAATGCCAAAAATGAAAACGGAGATGGTGTGATTAGATCCTAAATTATTTAGAAATTGGCACAGTATATATGAATAACAAGAATCACTGATATAGATACAGACAACACATGCGTCCATGGATGAGTTGTGAAAAGATATAAAATATTACATGTACGGTAGTGTCGTTGACAACCAAACCCCCTGCAGATACGTTCATCACAAACTGCTCCCTGAGTTTCTTCTTGTTGGTAAATAAATATGCAGCGAGGGGTTTTGCTCCTGAATTAATCACATCGAAACTTTCTTCTAATTTACTGACCTGTTCCAAGTAATAAGAAAGGCGTTATAATAGAAGTTAACTAATGACTGCCTTACGGATTTATTTTTCATTCGAGTTTCGATGACAACTGATCTTACACTAATATAAATTTTTTCTAGCAATCCTTAGTTGCTATTTTCCCATCGTTTTATTACAATCCCTAACAATTATCAACTACTTTTCTAGCTGGTCTTCGCACAACATACGCAACGGAAATTTTTCCTTGACAAGCATCCCAGAAAAGAGTCATGCCGTGTCTGCTGTCACTCTGAATAGTTAATTTTACCCTGCTAAGAAAGAATTGATCGCTGACTCTTATTTTAAATGAAGAAATCATTGCTATTGCAGCTTTCAAAAACAATCCAAGATCATTTTCATATTATTCATCTTACATTATTGAAAGTTACAATCAACTCAGTGACTTGATTGTTACCGTGATAATGGGAAGTAAAGGACCAAATATCTCCTCCTTCATTATCAGAGAATTTCGAGGAACGTCCAATAAAATAGTGGGAACAATCCTCCTGCCATTTAAAGGGAAACAAGTGTTGATATCAAGATCTGTAATGCACTTCAATTCACCAAACCAGAACTTTTCAATAGGATATCAAGCAGAGAGAGCTTACAATTTGCTTTCATCCTTTTCACCTCCATAAACAATCTTACCAGCAACCTTGTCATCTTCCAAGAGCTTTGTCAAGCGAGCAAAGTGATTTGAATTCACGATGCGGGACAAATCTTTCGATTCTAATGGGTTTTCTCCATAAAATTTCTCCAATTCAGTCCTTAGGGCATCAATCTAGGAAAAGAGGCACCAAACAACAAATAAACAAAGACATGGATTCTAAATTCGCACTGAGGAAACTTCTTACCAACTTTGGGGCAAAGTCTTTTGTTGTTAGAATGTAATCCGGAGAAATGCAGGCTTGTCCATTGTTGCACCCCCACTTGCCTGCAATTATCCGTCTAGCTGCAACCTTGTCAACACAGATCAATTTAGGTCACATAAAACATCAAAGCAAGTTCAGGCGATAGCAAGTGGAAATACAAGTGGGTTGCGCTGTACTTGTAAATTGATATCTGAATCAACAACAACTGGAGATTTCCCTCCAAGCTCCAGAACAACTGGCGTAAGATGTTTTGCAGCAGCGGCCATCACTATGCGTCCCACTCTTCCATTACCTGCGAATCAAAGGATTATGCAATATTCCAGGCCCGTTTTATCACAGAACAACTTCTGTCATAAATTAATAAAACGTGTGTGTAGCGGATGAGAATAAAAGAAGAAAGTTTATTAGGGAGAAAAGAAAGTACAACTTGTTGAAGGACAAGATACCCTCAAGTCAGAAATGACAAGACAACCTGAAAACAGAACTAAGAATCACATCCACACAAAACTTACAAGTGGAATAGAGCTTTCCAATCGCTTCCCATTTCCATATCAGATACAGTGCTCAGCACCAAAGACAAGTTATATACATGTCGCTAAGGAGAAAACTTGATGTATGATTCGGCGGAGAATAAGAATTAAGAAAGAAACAGGAAAGGAAACGTTGAAATTGAAACTATTTTAAATCAAGAGCTTCTTACAACGAGGAAGGAAAACGAGGGGTTCTCAACAAACCTCCCAAAGCCATCAACAAGTCCTCCAACCCTCGTGATTTTAAGCATTCTATTTTGTTGAATCTTAATGTCAAGTAACTAAGTAATTACAAAAATAGACATTTTTATAAAACAGGTATAACTGTAAAACTTACGAATTTCTTTCAGTTCAAATATGGAAAGGAAATTTTCATTTAACCGTCGATAGTCTAGTGGCCAGAATTGTTAGTAGAGCAGCATGTATTAACGTGAAAGGAACTAATTGTAAAGCAGTTTACAAGTGAATCATTTCAGAATTTCAAAATAAAAAATTAAATAAAAATATAGCAATAAGATAAACCTGTATAGAAAATTTTGTCCCACTTTTGCTGCAGCAGAGCAGATGTCTCATCAACTGCCCCCTCTACAACCTTTATAGATGTGTTATCCATGTACTCCCCTAACAATTTTGCCAGCAGCGACGATGTGGCTGGAGCAATTTCTGATGGTTTAAGGACCACCGCATTACCAGCTGCAATAGCTCCAATGACTGGATCAAGTGATAACACTGAAAAGACGGATATAGCAGTCAAAAATATCGTCATGGAAGATTTTTTAAAGAGCGAGCTTGTGAAAAGCAAAAGCAAAAACGCCATAGAAACATATAAAAAAGAAAATAAAAGGAAAGGAAAAAACAAAGTCACTTATATACATACAAAATGGATAATTCCATGCCGAGATGATTAACACAACCCCCAGAGGTTCAGACACTATTTCTGCTGAAGAAGGAAAAGTCGTGATTGAAGTTTTGACCTACATTTAAAGGAAAATATTGTGAAAAATAAAAAAAATCACGCCAAACAACCATACAGCTGAACGTCCGTCTGTCCAAATCAGTGAAAGAACTCTAGAAAAATACCTTCTCCGGCTTCATCCAATGTTTCAGTTCTCTCAGTGAGACTGTACATGAATTTTTCAACATTGCAATCTGCATGACACGTCAAGTTCTCAGTTAGAAGAGGACGAATTTCATTTTTTTTATACATTATGCTGATTGCATAATACCTTTCGACTAGTGAATATGAACAAATTATTAGCCAAAATACTAAACTTTGAGTTTCATGTACCTATTGAAAGCTCAAAGTTAACTACCAAACTCAGAGTCTTTTTATATCAATCTATTGAAATATATATGAACTATAGAAGTTCCTGGGACCATAAAAAATTTCTGATCATCCAAATGGTAAAAACTATAAATTAGTTGACACTCTCAGAAGAAGTAATCAGAATTGGACATCCAGGACCCCTGGTTGCACAGGCATAAAAAATACCACATACACAGATGTAACAACCAGATGCAATCTTACAAAAATTGAGATGCGAAAATATATCCCAGTGTCGCAAAAATCACTACATGCTTCGATATTTCTTGTGAATGTCAGAGCAATAGAACGATCAAGTCTTCTGGAATCTTCACAAAACATTAGAATCTTCCACTTTAAATAGGCACACAATATATGCAGTTTGCACATGGAATAATAGCTACCAGCCGAACTGGCTGGACATGCTTCGATGAATAGTCGGACCTCGCAAGTGAACTCCTAATCAAGTTAAGAAATGCACATCTACGTCTATGATCACACACCCACGCCTGAACACCTAAACAAGGCACATAGAAACAAAAGCTAAAAAGGAAAAAGAGAAATTTCAACCCGTGACGGAGACAAATAACGAGATGCACGACTTGCACGTCGACTGAGACATCCTGTGAAAATACTTCAAAGAAATACTTCCCTCATCGTAGCAATAAATTTAGGACCCCAAGCCACCTATGAGAGGCAATGTTGAAATATGGCCCACCTCAAAATGGAAGGCCAGGTGAACATTTGTAGACCGCCATTAATTCTCACACCTGCCACTCATATAGTAATATTTTTCGTGGCTACCTCGGAGAAGACCATTTCACGAAAAGAATTCTCCTAATTCCATGACGGCAGAAGTACACTGATAAATTTAGTATCCCAATGACAAGACATGAGCATTGAAAAAAAATGTTAAAACGAATAGAACCCATTGTAAAATTTCTGATCGGGAAGGACGGCAGACAAATTTAAATAACATGCAATTAAAGCTGAACAAACATCAATATCAAACTTCTCGTAAAACCGGACCATACAAAATAAATGAACATATCAAGAATCCAACGGCACAGTTGAACAATTTTGACCGAATAGAATTTCTAGCGGTAACAAGTCATCACCAAGTTTAAAACAGGAAAACGCGAAGAACGAGAGACTATAATATAAAATAGAAAATAAGGGCGGATTTAAAGAAAACAGATGGATGGCTATCAAGCATGGATAGGTTGTCGTATAGGAGACCTCGTAGGCGACAGTTTCAAGTGGGGGCTTGGAGAGATCGGAGCGGAGAGCTTCTATGATCTGTTGCTCGCGATTATCGAGCAACTTGGAAAGAGCCTTCAACTGCGAAACTCTCCACTCGTAACTTCGCGTCCTGCCAGAAGCGAAGGTGCCCCTCAGCTCCTCCACGAGCAAAGCCGCCGCTTCTGCATCGGACACTTTCTTTGACTCCTCAGACGACATTATCAGCGACGGCGAACACAATCGCCCAGAATCACGGAACAAAAACGAGGATTGGTTAGCTCTCCGACAATGCAAGAAAATATCGATCTCAGATAGTTCCGGCATAATCTGACGAGTGAGATTCACATTTATATAGGAAACTCCTCGTGGACAATGACAAGAAAAGTGTTTGTCACGCGATGTCGAGGGCGCGTTGGTTGAGGAGGAGATTTGCTTGCTTGCGAGTAGCAAATCCTACCCAAATCAATTAATCAAATCGAAGTTGCTTTGGAAACAAGTTCTATGGCATTTAATTAAAAAAAATATTGCAAGAAATTTATATTTATTTTAAATTTTATATTTATTAAAATAGTTTTTTTTTATAAAATATAAAAGTAAAAAATAAGTCTGGACTGCATGTCATCGCTGAGCATCGTGGCCGGACAGATCACGGGATTTCAATCTTTCATTTCATACTCATGTGACGACGAATTTCCTGAGTACCTATGGGACATCAGAGTCGATGCGAGTTATGTTACTGTTAGAAATAATTTACCTCGATGTTCATCTCAATAAATATACGTACACAAGCACTGTTTTTTTTTTTCCTCTAATAAATAAACATTTCGTTTGGTTGATGCCGCCTACAGACGTTGGATTGTACTAAACAAGGCATACATCTGGACTCCACGAGCCGGCGTTGAGATCATTTTCTAAAGAAGCAGGTCTTCAGGATATCTTCTTGTTACTTTTAAGAAGAATTTTTATTAAAGTTTTTTTAATGTAATATAATTTTAATTGAAGTCCAAAAATTCTGAAATTTTATTGTAAACCTAAAAGATTGAAATGCAATATATTTTTTTAGTTAAATAATGAAAATGCCTCTCAATTATAAAAAATATTATTAAAATAATTAGTTAAATTATAGTTTTTACAAGTAATATAATTAGAATAACAAGTCAAGTTGTTTTTTACAAGTAACATAATTGAAATAATAATTTAAGTTATGATTTTTACAAATAATATTAATAAAATAACAGATCAAATTATAATTTTTACAAATAATATTATTATAAAATAAGTCAAGTCATAATTTTTACAGGTGATATTATTAAAATAAAAAATTAAGTTATAATTTTTACAAACAATATTATAAAAATAAAAAAATTGTTTATTGTAATAATATTACTTGTAAAATTCGTAACTTAATTTATTATTCTAATGATATTACTTGTAAAAATCAAAACTTAACTTATTATTTTAATAATGCTGATTATAGTTGAAGGGTATTTTAGTCATTTAATTAAGAAAATTTCTTACATTCAAATCTCTTAGGTCTGCAATAAAATTTCAAATTTTTTAGGCCTCAATCCAAATTATTTCACATCTAAGAGCCTTTAATGAATTTTTCCTTAATTTTTATATGACGTTGGATGATTAGTATTCTTTTAAAATTGAGCCGAGTGCAATGGCGTGGTTGCTTTACTTCTGATATGTTTAGGTAAGTCTAAAAAATATATTCTAGACATGTACTCTTTTTTATTAAAAATATAAAGTATTTTTAATTAAATTTTATCTCTGATAAAGTAGTTACCTACTTTCAAATTAATCTTATCTTTTTATATTTATTTCTATTAAATATCCTATAATAAATATAAAATTATTCATCAATAGAGGTACTTTAAAAAATAATAATAATTACACTTTAAAAGATTAAAAAATACTTTACATTTTTTAACATTCAACTCTTGAATTCCTAAAGCTTAAATGAACTTTTGTTGAATATAAATGGATAACCAAACACACAAGTTCAAGGGTTTAAAAACTTCCATGGTTCTTTTTCCTTTTTTTTTTTTTTGTTTTTATCATGGTTCCAGCAACGTGGCCGTGCACATACCAGCTTTTCTGTTTTGTGAGTGGTGGTTGAACTGACAACTCTACCACGCAGGCGAAAATCGCTCAAGTTGTTGTGAGTTGTGAGTTGTAACTTGGACGCATCGACTAGAGCTGTCAATTAGGGCCAACTCGATCTTAAAAGGTCGGTCCTTGAAGGGTCAGGGCCTAAACGGGCTGGCCCTAATAAGCCCGATTACATGTCAGGGTTCCATTTTTTAAGGCCCGACCCTAGCCCTCGGGGCTAAAGGGCCGACCCTCAGGGCCTCGGCCCTATTTTTTTAAAATTATTTTTTCAATTAAAAATTATAAAATATATATTTATAATTATAAAAAAAGTTATTATTCATAAAATTAAGTTTAAGAAAATAAATTTAAATTAATTTACACCACAACAATAAAGAAAACTAAAATATTTAGGTCTAATATCAAATAGCAACATCAAAGTGAATACCAATAAAAATTAAACTTAACTAATATTATCATAATAAATAAATAAGGGATGGATGAATGCATTTAATATGTTCATTTCTTTGAATTATGTATTTAATCTTTTATTTTTTTATATTATAATTTTAAAAAAATATAAACGGGCCTAAAAGGGCCGGCCCTGGCCCTAAAGGGCCGGCCCTTTTATTTTCGGGTCTAAAAGGACCAGCCCTTTTAGGCTCGATTTACATTTTTAAAGATAAAATGAAAGCCCGGTCCTCAATTTTTTCGGGCCTAAAAGGGCCGGCCCTAATTGACGGCCCTAGCATCGACTCTTATGCTATTTGTTTAGCTATTATATATTTAAAAGTGATGAAAATTATCCAATCTCAAGACTTGCCTCTAAGAAAAGAAACCAGTTCACGCACACCGACCGAAAATCGGGTAAAACTTCAATGAAATGTCATATTAGTTTTCCTACCAGAAAAATGTCACATTAGTCTTAAATCTTCCAATCCAAATCTCAAAGGGGTGGCTCAAAGTCAACGAAATCAAACTATACCTTTATTTCTCTCAAACAAGTAAATTGACTATTGGCTCTCTAGGGATCGGGATTGAACTAATAATGTCCAGTTTTATTTTTATTAAAAATAGGTAAAAAGAGATACAAATAATATGATATAAGTCATAAAATTAAATTCATAATAGAAATAAAATTAAAAAATGACAATAAACAATTTTTGTGTGTCTTATATTGAAGATAAAAAATTCTTTTAATAGATTTATTGTAATAGGGATTGGAGGAAGTATATGAATTATAAACTTAACTAAAATTTATTTCATAAAATCAGCGTCAAAATAAATACCGATGAAAAGCTTCTCGATCAATGAACATATTTTTCTGGGCCCAGAGAAACGAACATCAATTAGTGAGGTTAGGCAGTCAACATGAGCGGCATTTATTATGACCTTTTTGTCCCAGGAAAATATTTTCTGTTCCCATGTAGGACGTATCGCCAAACATGATCAGTTGATGGTCCAGTTCTTGAAAGTTATCAACAAATTTAGTCATTTTGGCTTAGTCGTGTTTTCTTTCTCTTTTAATGAAGTCGATTCTAGAAAGCCTCTCTCCCCTTGCCAAGATGCAAGAAATCCCCAGCTAAAAAAATGACAGTTTACAATTTATAAATCAAGTTAGTGAATATAAGGGTATCCTTAATTTTCTTTCATTTCATAAATAAAGCCAGTGCATGTTATAAGGGTACAGCTTGGCAAACAGAAATTTATGTACCTTCAAACTTTTAAATTGATAGATAAATTATTTTTTCTTAAAAAAAAGGCAATTGAAGAGGATGATGTGTAATAAAATTTATATTAAAGTGTATTATTTATAAGTCTTGTACGGGGTTTATTTAAGAAATTCCGGGTAAGTAGAGGAAAATAAAATATGTATGTCCATCTCTATTTTATACAAAGTTTACAATAAATAACATTATTGAGGAGTTTGAACAACATTGCCCATTTGAGCCTGTTTGGATTTACATCAAAAATCCATTTAAACTACATCTAGAATATACTTCTATCAAATCTAACACATGATTGCTTTTTTAAAAATGAATTTTTGAAAAATGTAAACTGAAAATCAAATATACACTAAACACTTCATAGTACATAAAAAATATATAGTTTTATGCCGCTATAATTGAAAATTTATAGTGATCTGCAGTATTTTTAAGTTATATATTTTGAATAGTATAATAGCTCATTGTATGAAAAAATGTTTATTTTTTAATTTCTAGCTAATGAAAAATGCACCTTGTTTCATTTATGATAAAATTCAAGTACTCAGGCTTACATCCCTAAAGTTTTTTTTTAATAAAACTAGAAAAAAATGAATTTTAATTTTAATTTTTAAAAAATCTAAACGTAACAACAGCAAAAAAAATTTTTGTCAACTATCAACTATCAATTAATAAAAAAAGTTGGTAGATAAATAATGAATTACAAATTACACATTTCCCGAATTGATCAAAAAAAGGTGCAATAGATCAATTTTAGTTCCTAAGGTTTTGCCCCAGTAGAAATGGGCCAACATTGAAAATATAAATCCGACGCACGCAGAATGGAAACGGTAATCAAGGATACAGTCTGCAGAATAAAAGCCCCTCTAAATTAAATTTAAATTGAACATATACCCCTCTAAATTAAGCAAGTATTATTTTTGCTTGGAAAAACAAATTCATGCATGCATGTATGAGTATGATGTCATCAGGTCCAAGCCACGCACATTAACACTAACAACAGAGTGGGAACTCAAATGACCATGTTATTGATTGATCAGATTGTCTTGAATATTGAATGAACCATCCCCCCTTGACTACATTCTCTATGAATTTGAATTTGATTAGAAAATTATTAAATTTTTAAACAAAATTAGCATTACC